TTTTGCTGTCCTGGCCAAAACTCTTCCAGATAAAATTGTTCAATCACTCATGTCCCGCGTCTTGGGAAGTCTTCCAGACTTGAAATGTGCTACGTAAATGCAATTTGTTGTTGTTGCTCTTGTCCTTTTGACTCTTTGTGCGACATTGCTGTGCACAATTTGCCTCCAAATCTCAAAGCATTTTACAATATATCCTTTAAGGTGCTTTGAGATGTCCTCCCAACATGAAATGCACTTTATCAAATGCAATGATTATTAGTATTCAGGATCATGCGGTTGAAACATCTCAAGGCACTTCAAGGGTTTATTGTAACGTGTAGTGACTGTGTTTGTTGGCACACGCAACAGCCAATTTGCACACAGCAATATGGAACAAACAGCCGTGAAGTGAATTTTATCTGGGAGAATGTTAGCCGGGACACTGGAGGAAATGCTCTTCCCTTTTCTAATAGTGCCATTGGATCTTCAACGACCACATGAACAGGGTGGCAAGAGCTCGGTTTAACATATCATCCAAAGGATGGCAATAATGGAAAGTTCGCTTAGAACTGAAATGGGATGTCATCCTGGACTGTGAGCTTAAACTCTTAATGTGGAGCTTGAACCTGAATCCCGGAGTGTGGGATTTGTGAGGTGTCATGTTCTATCAGTAGCCTTACCCCTTCAGTATTTTGTGAGTGGTGCAGAGTTTGAGGACAATTCCAATGAAACCCCGTCATTTTACTATTTATGTGTTTCTGCCTCAATTTACCCTTTCTGCTTCAAACCATCAGGTGGCCATTGAAAGATCTCTGCACATTGTTTGAAGAAGAGAAGTTTCTCTTGATGTCCTGCAGATAAATTTGATCATTTCATATACAGTATATACGTTTTTATCTGTTTTGTGACATTGTTCTGCACTCGTTGGCTATTGTATTTGCCTGCAAATTTTGCAACTTGTATTTTAATATATATATATAGCCTATCGTAAATATATGTAGTAATTCAAGGCCTGCAATGTGTACATGCTAAACAAATATATTGTTAATGCAAAGGTTAATCATTTCTCTTCTGGTTTCCTCACTCTCTTTAGTTAACGCAATTGCAATTGTGATCCTGTCCCGAGGAAATTGTAATCTCTCCAAATGCATCACACGTTATATGATAGCCATGGCATCGGCGGACCTATTGGTTGTTGTGACCGATGTCATTTTGAGATGGTTGATAGTGTATTTTCCGGTTTCTTTCTTGGACGTTACTCCCGTGTGCAGCTCGGTGCTGGTCCTGATTTCTGCAACAACAGAGTCGTCTGTTTGGCTAACAGTGGCTTTCACTTTTGATCGCTTTGTCGCACTTTGTTGGCAGAAGCTGAGAGCGAAATTCTGCACAGAGGGAACGGCATCTGTGGTTACAGTGAGTGTGTGCGCCCTGAGTTTGCTGGAATCTATCCCATGGTATTTTAAGTTCACACCTCGCTATGTGGTTAAGGATGTGGCGTGGTTTTGCGACACGGATCCGAGCTATTATCATTCCGCTGTTTGGGCAGCGTTTGAACTGCTGCACCGATTCTTATCTCCGCTGTTTCCAATCGTTTTGATTTTGTCCTTCAATGTTTTGACCGTCAGACACATTGCGGTGTCCAGCAAAGTCCGGAAACGGCTTCGGGGCGAAAGGAATGGTGAGAAAGCTAAGGATCCTGAGGTGGAAAGACGCAGAAGATCCATCATTTTACTCTTCTCCATATCGGGGAGTTTTATCATGTTATGGATGATGTACGTTGTATCTTTCATACAGCAGCGTATTTCATACATATCCGATTCTTACTTTCCTTCAAGTTATGTAGCAAAAATCGGTTATTTGCTGCAGTTGTTGAGTTCCTGCACAAACACTTGCATTTATGCTTTGACCCAGGCCAAGTTCAGAGAAGAGCTACACGATTTCATCAAATATCCCTTTACCTTCTTTCTTAAATTAATCAAAAATTGAAGGGTTGTACCTTGATTTCCACCTTTTGCACTGCCCACCCTCCAGAGTAACCCTTTAAAAGTCAAACCCAGATCGTTATTTAGGATGCCCCAAGACAGCAGAACAGGAGGACACAGATTGACACACAGCCCATTCCGTATTCTCAAGATGTACCTGATCTTTCCCTTCCCCACCCCCCCCGTTGACTCCCGCTCAGCTCGGTGCCCAGCCAGCAGTAGTGTTGAGTGTTTGAAGACATCCTCCTGAGACAAAAGATGCCGTATAAATCTAAGTTAGATTGTATAATGCTAGCCTTCGCTCATATCCTCGCTTGACCTTTCTTACCTTTTTGGCTTCAATTCTATATTTTTTAAGCTTCATCTGATTTTCTTCTGTATTATCAAGAATAATATCTGTATAATATCTTTGTTTGTTCAGTTGTAGTCTGTTCAACAACAACAACAAAATTGCATTTATACAGCCCCTTTCATTTCAGAGAATGTGCCAAGGTGCTGGACAGTCGAGGGTTTGCACCCAAGCTGGGGGATAAATTCAGGAGGGATGGGGGACAAGTGGGCGGGAGGGGGGGGGGGGGGGGGAAATATGACCAAAGGCACAGTCAAAGAGGAATAACAACCAAATTACATTTGTATAGCACCTTTCACATCGGGAGGCATCCCAAGGCGCTGGACATTCTGTGTTTTGGACCTGAGCTGGGGGTTAGGACTGGGGAAGGTGGAGGGTGGGAGGCGTCAAATATTATCATTTGCCTGTAATAATCCTTGCATTTCATATAGTGCCTTATCATGTCTTTGAGACGTCTCAAAGCGTTTCACAGAATATTCTGTAAAGTGAATTGTCTATATATTGTGGGTAAAACACAGCAGCCAATTGTCACACAAACAGTCGTGGATTGAGGGACCAATTTTTTTTTCTTGATACAATTATTGCCCCCAGAAAAGCGATCAGCCAATCGACTAACAACCAGGTTCCTACTTACTGCTAGGTAAACAGAGGCGTGTGGATTAAGGAAACTTGCCCAACGTATTGCCCTGCTGGGAATTGAACCCAGGACTCTCGCCGACAGGGCGAGTGCTCTATGCACTGAGTCTAATTTAGTGATGAGAGTGAATGTCACAATGTTTCCGAGCTCCTGTCTGAATTTGGTTTGCATCACCACAGAAATACACGTGCGGTGCAGGAGCTGAGTTTGCTTTATGGTAAATGATGGATCACTGTAACTGCAATAATGATAAGCATTTTTAATTTGATAATAAAGATGAAATGTATCGCTGACGTCATGCACAACAGGATTAAACTGCAAGACATGACAAAAAGTAAGATAATGGACTCTCTCGTCTGTTTTCCACCTTTGGGTCAGTGTTACTGTTGCTATGAGAGCGTTCAGGACCAGGATGAGAATGAAGGGAATGAACGGGATTAAAATGCGATCAATCCAGTCCAGAGCTTACCCAGGTGGACAGAGTATAAAAACTATTCTTGCTTTTGCCTCGCTTTCCCACGGAACGTTGTTAACGATGCATATTTAAAGAAACAGGGAATATTTTTTAAACTGCAAAGAGCATAAACTGCTGGTATCACCACAGCCCCGTACTCTCTGTGTAGTAACTTGTTTTCATCTTTTGGCAACAAACGGCTAAAACACGCTGAAAGGTGAAAGCCACCATCAGACAGACGTAAATGTCATATGAATCATAGAATTATATAGCAGAGAAGGAGGCCATTCGGCCCATCGTGTCTGTGCCGGCTGTTTGAAAAGAGCTATCCAACTCAATCCCACTCCCCCGCGCTCTCCCCATAAGCCCTCCAAACTTCTCCTCCCCAAATAATGATCTACTTCTCTCTTAAAAGTTGTTATCGAATTGGCTTCCTCCACTCTTTCAGGCAATGCATTCCAGATCTGAACAACTCGCTGTGTGAAAAAATTTCCCCTCACCTCCCCTCTTCCCGATGTGAAGAGCGCTCTATAAATGTGATTTTGTTGTTCTTATTGTTTTCCTGGTTTTATGCTTACTGGGTTTCTTATCTTCTCCCTCTGTCTCCTCACTTATATTAGAGCTGTTTTTTAGAGTGAATTTTGCTCCATTTCCACATCAATCTCTTCAATAGGATTGTTGGAGATGGAGCGGACATTTTGAAGTCCAATGCGGAGTGGACAGTTGGCAGGGGGAGCAGGGGGATGTGTGAGATGGGAGGAGGTAGTGGAATAGTTGGCAGGGAGGGTGGGGATGCAGATGAGGGAAGGGAGGAGAGGTTAGCCCCTGGGGTCAAGGTCCGGGGTGGCTTGCGGCGGTGGTGGGGAATGGGGCAGTCGGTGTGGCTGCTGCTGGACAGCCGGCGCCGAGTGCCACGATGAGCCAGGTGGAGGATTCCCGGGCTGGAGCAGAGAGAGGCAGTGGGGGGTGGTGGTCAAGCAGAGATAGGAAGCGGGGAGAGAGCAGGACAGAGTGGGAGAGTTGCAGGGAGGAGGGGCATTTTGAGGGAGGGCCAGCTCGTGCCGGGGACAGCAGCCAAGACGAACGAACGAAGCAGGCAGGCGGACACTGGTACAAGCTGTCCTGTACTGTAACTGCTACCAGGGATTCAAACCTGGCGGGCGGAAGTGACATCCCGCAGAATGGCGGGAAAAATCTGGAAGTCCAAAATGGCGGCTGCCCCTGACCAGGTGATGGCCTCCGCTCACTCGATCCCCGCGACACCCGCCCACATTTCAAGGTCCTCGAGACCCACACCCCCCACCACCCCCGGCCCAGCCTGCAGCTACCGGCCCCTGCCTCTGGCTAACGCTGACCCCCCGATCCCCGCAGACCATCCCTGTGACTCCCAGCCGCTGCCTGACTTAGCTTCCGTGAGTCCCGCTCGGTTTTACCTGGGTTTTCGAGGCCCAGCCGCCGGCTCACGACTCAACACCGTCCATCCCGGGCACTGTTCAAAATCAGCGGATGTGAAGGTGTGAGGATCAGAAGTGAAGTGAACTCTGTCACAGGGCGGAACTCACCCAGAATGCAAACCTCGAGATGGAAGCACTTTGGACCAGAGATAATTGAGGGTGGAAATGGCTTCTAGACACCAGGGTCAGCGTCTGACGGAGGAGTTAAACTGTCCCATTTGTCTGGATTTCTTTAACGATCCTGTTATTCTGGAGTGTGGCCACAACTTCTGCTGCTCCTGTATCACACGGAGCTGGGAAAAGCAGGAGATAAACTCTTGTCCGGAATGTCAACAGGTATTTGCCGAAAGGAACCTCAGGAGGAATCGAGCCTTGGCAAATATAACAGGAGAAATTCAAAAAATAATCCAGTCTAAGAAAGAGGCAAGAAATAAACGTTACTGTGAGGAACACGAGGAGGAACTAAAGCTGTTTTGTGAAACTGACAAGAAATTGATGTGTCTGATTTGCAGAGATGCGCAACAACACAGAGATCACAGCTTCTTACCCATAAACGAGGCCTTTCAGACCTATAAGGTAAACACATCACGGGTTTCACAAGTTTGAACATAAGATATTCAATTATGCTCACTTACCTCATTCCACATTTGTTTAAACAAGTTTTTTTCTCACATTTTCAATTCCAGGATAAAATAAAATCCTCCATAGATTCCCTCACACAGAGGAAGGCCACTGCTCTGGAAGCTGAAGTGAAACAGAAACAAATGATTTCACAAGTTAAGGTAAGTTGTGTCGGGGCTGATTTCTGGGCTCTCAGGTGGGTTTCCCTCTTTCCCGTGTTTACACGGTGTGATGTCTGATATTTTGCAGGAACAGGCAAGGAGTCTGCAGGACAATGTCGAGGCTGAATTTACTAAAATGCACCAGTGCCTGACCGACAGAGAGCAGCGTGTAGTCCGAGAGCTCAGACAGCGAGAGAAGGAGACTTTACAGCAAATGGAGAAAAATCTGCGAGAGATTCAGGGCAATTTAGATTCTGTTCAACAAGAACTCTCAGAGTTACAGAAACAGATGGGAAAAGACTCGCTCATCTTTCTGCAGGTAAAGACATTAAATTATAATTGAGTTCAGGAAAAGTTACACACAGTCCGAAAATCAAAGTCTGGCTGTTAAACAGATCAGTGATTTATTGATTATTTGGTACTTTCTGATCGTGCGTCTGTTGCTGTCACTAAGGACAGAACTGAACCCACATCAGTCACTTCCAGGACCTGCTGTGTCCCTGCAATGCTAACATCCGGCTACACTTCAATGTGGTTGTGTAGTCGTTTAGTCCTGGGATTTATCATTGATTTATCTATATAATAATAATAATCCTTGCATTTGATATAGCGCTTTTCACGTCGGGAGGACGTCCCAAAGCGCTTCACAGAACACACTGTAAAGCGAATAGACTGTATATTTGTGGGTGAACTCGGCAGCCAATTGCGCACAGCAATGTCCCACAAACAGTCGTAGATTGAAAATGAACTATTTATTATTGTTTTTTGGTTTTGGAGGGATTATTATTAGGGCTGTGTGTGGAGTAAGGAAACTTGCCCAAGGTTTGGCCCTGACCTGCCTGGAATTGAACTCAGGTCTCTCACTTGCAAAGCGAGTGCTCTAACCACTGAGCTGCAGGACTCCACCTATGTGAGAATGTTATCATTTACTTTCTAATCACAGTGTAAACCCGTTACTGTTCTATTTACTGTATCTACAGGTGAGTATCTGTAAGTGACTGAGTGTGAGTGTGTATGTCTGTAGGCAGGTCTCACTGTGTGTTCTTGGCTATGTACTGTATCTACAGATGAGAATGTAAGTGACTGAGTGAGAAGGGTGTGTGTCGGTAAGCAAGTCTCACTGTGGCTATAACCACACATAAACAGCACTTTATAATTGCTCTATAAGTGACATTTCTGGCCTTTTTGGCGACAACATTGAGTACCATTGCTATAATAATGACAGCAAACTCTGCTGTAGAATTCTATTCTGTGTCTGAGTTTACAATGTGGTGTCTCAGTGTCGGCTCAGAACTCTCTGTGTTTGATTTCCTTAGGAGGCCAGTGCTTGGAAAATAAGGTATGAAATGTTCCTTACAAAATATGCCCAGAATTTAATACACAAACCAAACACAATGTGCAGTTTCACTTTATAATGTGAAACACCTCTGATTTCAGGGTCGGTGATGAGGATTGTGCGCTGTCAGTATGTGAGGGTGATCTGCCTGTGGGGATATACAAAGGGCCTTTTCAGTACACAATCTGGAGAGAGATGATACACGGCATCAGCCCAGGTAAATGTCTCCCATTCTCATACTGGGTAAACAGTCTTACATTCACCTGGATCCTAACAAATTATACACAGACCAGGGATCTTTTTTCACTGTAGTCTTGTGGAGTCCTGTAGTTCAGTGGTTAGAGCACAGGGTGAAACGTTGGGCAAGTTTCCTTACTCCACGCACCAAATAATAATCCCTCCAATACGAAACAATAATAAATTGGTCATTTCCAATCCACGACTGTTTGTGGGACGCTGTTGTGCACAATTGGCTGCCGTGTTTCACCCACAAATATACAGTCAATTGACTTTACAGTCTGTTCTGTGAAACGCTTTGAGACGTCGAGAAGACGTGTAAAGCGCTATATCAAATGCAAGGATAATTATTATTATTATATAGTCCTGCGTTACCGTCAGTAGGTGGTGGTGTTTCACCGACAACCACTCGAATCAAACGGTCACCAGCGCCCTCTGCCGGCAGCGGTACAGGGTTTGAGTTTTTTATCCTAGATTCAGCAAACTACCCCTCGATACTTATAAAATAATAATCCTTGCATTTGATATAGCGCCTTACCACGTCTTCAAGACGTCTTAATGCACTTCACAGAATATAGTGTAAAAGTGAATTGACTGTATATTTTGTGAGCGAAACGCGGCAGCCAACTGTGCACGGCAATGTCCCACAAACAGTCGTCGTGGATTGAGTGAACGATTTATTATTATCTCGTTTTTTGGAGGAATCATTACTCCCGGAAGAGCAATCCGCCAATCGACTAGCAACCGGATTCCTACTTATTGCCAGGTAAACAGAGACGTGTGGAGTAAGGAAACTTGCCCAGTGTTTCGCCCTGCCCGGGAATCGAACCCAAGCCTCTTGCTTGTGAGGCGAGTGTTCTAACCACTAAGCTACGAGACTCCACAAATCTTTCACCGGATCTTTCACCAGCTCACACAGCGGCTTCCTTGTGCCCGTCCTCACTCCTGCAGCCAAACCCCCCTGCATCACCCCCTCACTCCACTTTGTGTTATTTTTCTCTCTCTCTCAGCTCCGGCTTCTCTGACTCTGGATCCTGACACAGCCAATCCCTGGCCCATCGTGTCTGAGGACCTGATCAGCGTGAGAGACGGAAACAAACATCAGAAGCAGCTCCTTGACTCCCCAAAGAGCTTCAGCGAAGATCCCTGTGTCCTGGGGTCCGAGGGCTTCACATCAGGGAGACATTACTGGGAGGTGCAGGTGGCCAACAAGACTGGATGGATTGTGGGATTGGCCAGAGAGTCCATCAGCAGGAAAGAACCAATTACATGGTCACCAGTTGGTGGACTCTGGTGTATGGAGCTGGTCGACGGTGTCTATCATGCTCTGACCTCACCTCCCAACCCCCTGCCCCTGGAAGTGAGCCCAGATAACATTGGAGTTTACCTGGACTATGAGGGGGGACAGGTATCATTTTACAACGCTGATAACATGTCTCATCTCCACACTTTCACCCACACTTTCACTGAGAAACTCTATCCTCTCTTCAATCCCTCTTTCGTTGAGGGCAGTCAAAACTCTGAGCCGCTGAGAATCTGCTCAGTGACAGATCCACAAAGAAATGCCGAGTGTTTGATTCTGTGATTTTTTTCCCCCCAGTTTTGAGCTGAGTTTGCGATGGTTGTTCACAGTACTAAATCACTTCCGGGGGCTGAATTATTACAAGTTAAAGGCAATTCACTTGTTTGTGTTATAAATAAAAAAAATCCTTGCATTTGATATAGTGCTTTTTCACATCTTCTCGACTGTATACTTGTGTTGTGCTGGAATTACGAATTTATTCATTTTCAATACTTTTCTTCGGCTTCTTTAAATAAACAGCTAATCCCTGTGTACAACTACACTTACTTTGCCTTTCAATTCCGTCTATGAAAAAATAAAATAAGTTTAAACTCCTGCAGTAACAAGTTAGCGCCAGCAGACGGGAGAGGGCATGTTGGAGGAACTCCGGGAATGGAGCCGGGTCAGGAGATCGCAAAGGTAGGGTGAGGAGTGGGGAACGAAGGCCATAGAAGAGCTTCTCACTGGGGAATGAGGGAGCTTTATGCAAGAAAACTGAATGGCGCATCACTTTCACCCACACTGGCAATGGAATTGAGCCAGTCTTATAGTGCTCTCCATAGTCCAGTTCCTGAGCCAAGGAGACCTGCAGTATCACGCACTATTAACCCTGCAAGCCAAAGCCCTAACGGATAGGGTGGTCATAACTGGACAAGCAGTGGGAAAGCTTGTCAAACAGCAATATCAATGGCAAACTATGTTGATTTAGCCGGTTCGACTCCAGCAATATCCCCATCTCGCATCTCCAGCAATATCCCCAAGCCTCGGTTTTTGCCAACCTTCACACTCTCCAGAATTAGGTAAGCAGGATGCACCCCTCCGAGGAAGAGAGTGCACCTTGATGCCTAGATTGCACACCGGTTCGGTGAGTCTGAGGGACAGGCTGACGAGGTTGAGGAGGTCAGAGTCACAGGAGAAAAGATGTTGATGGGATCCTAGGAGAGCTGGGAGCCGGGCTTCCGTCTTGTCAACATTTAGTTGTGAGAAATTTGCACTCATCCAGGCTCTGCGAGAACCAGGAGCTCCCTTTGAACCTCCTGGTGAGCAGCACAGCTCAGCAGGAAATGAATGAGTGCGTTGCCACCGATTTGTTGCCTACTGCTCCCTACCTCCTGAGCGACTGGACCTGCAGTTGGAGGTGTGGAGCTGAAAATAAATATATTGCTGAATTATAACACATCATCGTGGAATATGCAAGGAGCGTGTCTCCCCCGCCCGCGACCCCCCCCCCAACCCCCCCACCAGCCAGATAGCACGCACACGCGCACACACACTCACACAAGGCCCAAGCTCTCAAACCCGTAACAACAGCGACAACACAACAATCGTGGAGGGACTCGGCACCCGGTCACCCACAGGCCCCTCAGTGCTGCCACCCACAGGCAGAACTTCAGCGTGTGCTGCCACGTCCCTACCCCCTTACAGTTCGATAGCTTTAACTTAAAAGAGAGATGGATTGACCCTAAAACATCTATAACTTACATGATACAAGCACGCGTGTAAACGGGCAGTACGTTAGAGGGTTAGGAGGTCGCAGTGGTAGGGAGGGGGAAGCAAGGAGTTTGTATAATCAAGCCTGCATTTGATGAACGTGTGTATGAGGGTCTTGGCGGCCTGCGGTGTGGGGCAATGTTGCGGAGGTGGGGGAAGGCAGAGCGGTCATGGCACGGATGTGGGGTAGAAAGGACAGTTGAGGGTCAAACAAGACCCCAAGGGTCCGGACTGGCTCAGTGAGGTGGAGTGTGCAACCATGGATGGTGATGCTGTCAGCGCTTGAGGTGCGGAGGCGCTGACGGGAGCCAATCAGGAGGGTTTCGCTGTGGTTGACGTTCAACTGAAGAAAGTTGGCTCTCATCCAGAACTTGATGTCTGACAGACATTCTATCAGGACAGCAGTGGTCCTGGAGTCGAGGGTAGAGGCAGAGGTAGAGTTGGGTGTCATCCGCATAGATGTGGAAGTTGACCCCATATCTGCAGATAATGTCACCAAGAGGGAGCATATAGATATTGAAGAGGAGGGGACCAAGGACAGAGCCCTGAGGAACGCCACACCAAGCGGGGGGGCCAGAGGAGAAACTGTTTGTGGAGGCGGTGTGAGAGCTACGATCTGAACCATTCAAGGACAGAACCATGAAGGTTGAGGTGAGAGGGGAGGCGGTGCAGGAGGATAGAGTGGTCAACGGATTCGAAGGTATCAGAGAGGCCAAGGAGGACGAGGAGGCAGAGGGAGCCCTGGTCGAAGATGGACAAAATGTCTTTTGTCACTTTGACCAAAGCTGTTTTTGTGCTGTGGGTGGTGCGGAAACCCGATTGGCAGGTTAGAAGACTAAAGGAGAGGGTTTGACAGATAATTGAGCTGGAGCCACACCAACAATAACATTTAAAGTGAAAGTAGTTTAAATCAGGAAGTGCTGAGGCTTAAAATGGCTTCTAGACTCCACGCTGACCAGTGGACTGAGGAGTTAAATTGTCCCATTTGTCTGGATTTCTTTATTGATCCTGTTACCCTGGAATGTGGCCATAACTTCTGCTGCTTGTGTATCACACAGAGCTGGAAAAAGCAGGTGACAAACTCCTGTCCGGCATGTCGGCAGGTTATCGCCAAAAGGAAACTCAAGGTCAATCCGGCCCTGGCGAGTCTGTCAGAGAAAGCACAGGAATTGAGCCTGTCCTCGACCGAGACAGGAGTTAAACGCCACTGTGAGAAACACCAGGAGGAACTGAAGCTGTTCTGTGCAACTGAGAAGAAATTGATCTGTTACATTTGCAGAGATGCGCGGGAGCACAGGGAACACCGTTTCCTGCCCGTTGACGAAGCTGTAGAAATCTACCGGGTAAATATAACCCTCACCTGGGATTCAATTTATTCCACTTGATGTTTTTACGTTCAAATGCTTTTATTCTGTCGGTTTATTCCAGCAAAGAGTGAAATCCTCTTTAGATTCCCTCACACAGAGGAAGGCCACTGCTCTGGAAGCTGAAGAGAAGCAGAAGCAAAAGATTTCACAAGTTAAGGCAAGTTGTGTCGGGGCAGATTTCTGGGCTCTCGGGTGTGTTTGTCTCCCTTTACCGTGTTGACACGGTGTGTTGTCTGACGCTTCATTTTGTCAGGAACAGGCAAGCAGTCTGCAGCACCATGTCGCGGCTGAGTTTACTAAAATGCGCCAGAGCCTGACTGACAGAGAGAAGCGGGTACTCCAAAAGCTCAGTCAGCGAGAGGAGAGGATTTTAAACCGAATGGAGAAAAATCTGCGAGAAATTCAAGGCAATTTGGATTCTGTTAAACAAAAACTCTCAGAGGTAGAGAAACAGATGGGAAAAGACCCGCTCACCTTTCTGCAGGTAAAGAAATTAAATTCTAACTGAGTTCAGGAAAAGTTACACACAGTCTGAAGCAGATCAGTGATTTATTGATTATTTGGTACTTTCTGATCGTGCCTCTGTTGCTGTCACTAAGGACCACATCAGTCACTCCCAGGACCGGCTGTGTCCCTGCAATGCTAACATCAATGTGGTTGTCCTGGGATTTAACATTGATTTATCTGCATGAGAATGTTATCATTTACTTTCTAATCACAATGTAAACCCGTTACTGTTCTATTTACTGTATCTACAGGTGAGTATCTGTAAGTGACTGAGTGTGAGAGTGTATGTCTGTAACCAGGTCTCACTGTGTGTTCTTGGCTATAACCAGACATAAGCAAACTTAATAGTTGCTCTGCGTCTGATCTTTCTGGTCTTTGGAGATATAGAAACATAGGAACGGGAGTAGGCTATTCAGCCCATCGAGCCTGTTCCGCCATTCTATGAAACCATGGCTGATCTGTACCTCAAGTCCAATTAACGGCCATTGCTCCGCATCCCTTAATATCCTGACCTAACCTATCCTTGTACCTTATCTATCCACCTCGGTCTTGAGACGTCGAGTGAGTACCATGACTGTAATAATGACAGTAAACACCGTTGTCGAATTCTATTCTGTGTCTGAGTTTACAATGTGGTGTCTCAGTGTCGGCTCAGAACTCTCTGTGTTTGATTTCCTTAGGAGGCCAGTGCTTGGAAAATAAGGTATGAAATGTTCCTTACAAAATATGCCCAGAATTTAATACACAAACCAAACACAATGTGCAGTTTCACTTTATAATGTGAAACACCTCTGATTTCAGGGTCGGTGATGAGGATTGTGTGCTGTCAGTATGTGAGGGTGATCTGCCTGTGGGGATATACAAAGGGCCTTTTCAGTACACAATCTGGAGAGAGATGATACACGGCATCAGCCCAGGTAAATGTCTCCCATTCTCACACTGGGTTATTGGTAATGTTGGTAATGAAATGCCACTGCAGGGGCACAGCCCAGGGCTCTTTAGTCTTGTAGTACCGCTTTACTGTTTCTCCGACAGCCACTCGAGTCCCTCTGCTGGCGGCTTGGCTATGGAAACAATAATACTACTCATAATCCTTGCATTTGATACAGCGCTTAACAGAATACACTGCAAAGTAAGTTGACTGTATACACTGAGGGCTCTGTGCCCTCCTCAATCACCCCCTCACTCCACTTTGTGTTATTTTTCTCTCTCTCTCAGCTCCGGCTTCTCTGACTCTGGATCCTGACACAGCCCATCCCTGGCTCATCGTGTCTGAGGACCTGACCAGCGTGAGAGCCGGAGACAAACAGCAGGAGCAGCTCCCCGACTCCCCAAAGAGGTTCAGCGAAGATCCCTTTGTACTGGCGTCTCAGGGCTTCACATCAGGGAGACATTACTGGGAGGTGCAGGTGGGCAGCAAGACTGGTTGGGAAGTGGGGGTGGCCAGAGAGTCCGTCAACAGGAAAGGAAATGTGACACCAACACCAGAGAACGGATTCGGGATCGTGTGTCTGAGAAACAGAAATCAATATTGGGCTCTGACCTCGCCTGCCACCCTTCTGCCCCTGACAGTGAGACCCAGGAAGCTGGGAGTTTACCTGGACTGTGAGGGGGGACAGGTGTCATTTTATAACGCTGATAACATGACTCATCTCCACACTTTCACCCACACTTTCACCGAGAAACTTCATCCTCTGTTCAGCCCCAGTATCAATGACGGTGGGAAAAACTCTGAGCCGCTGAGAATCTGCTCAGTGACAGCTTAATGAGGAGGAAAAGCCTCAGCCATTAACTCTGTTTGACTGTTATTCCCATCAGTCTGGGATGGTGCCGAGGGTTAGATTCTGTGCTGTTTCCCCCCCCCAACCCACCCCCCACCCAAAGTGTGAGCTGAGTTTGTGACGGGCAGTGAAGGGCGGGGGCTGGGAGGCGACAGCTCCACATTGCGTCCCAATGCCGGCTGTGACCCCGACACTGAGCAGCCACAACACATCCAGCGTCAATCCTGAGCTGCTGCAGCCGCCTGGTCAGCAACAGCCACAGCGAATGATCCTCATTAACATCATTCACAGCATCAGAGGAGCCTGACACACCCAAATGTGATCAGTCGGTGTTTACCTGTGGGTAAGGTTCATCGCCAGCTCGTCCCTGAGCTTGGGTTGAGAGAATCTGACTTTTCGACCAGTGAGCCAGGGAAATGGGCTGATATCTCTCTCTCTCCAGCAATGCCCAGTCTCACAGTCCAGGGCTGACGCTCAGAATCTCACTTGAAATCTCCCCAAATCACTTTTTTTATCTATAAACAATGGGAATTCCTCTACTCTTGTGTGCAGCCCCATCTCACTTGTGTACAAACAATATGTATTTTCAGCGTCATCTTTGATAATCTTTGTAATAATACAATAAAGCTTGCATTTCATATTGCACCTTTCACATTGAGTGGACGTGTCAAAGTCCTTCACGGGATTTACTGTAAAGTGACTGGTGGATTTGTATGCAAATGTGGAATCCAGTTAGCACAGTGCAATGTCTACGTTAAGTAGCAGCTCATACAATAAATGTTTACGATTGAATATTTACCTCCTGAACGTCTCTGTGGGTGAGGATCGGGAGGAGCTGGATGTGGATGAGGATGGTAAGGGGCTGAGTGTGGGTGAGGATAGGGAGGGGCTGAGTGAGGATGAGGAGGGGTTGGGTGTGGGTGAGGATGGGAAGGGAAGGTAGGTGAGGATAGGGAGGAGGTCACCTCGGTGGCTGTTGTCTATGTTGTTCCCAGTGCAATGCTACCACCTGTCACAATAATGCTTACACAACAAACCGGTTTGACAGGTAATTCAGCCCGAGCCAAATCCACACAGACACTGAGACAGCATACCGGTTAGACATGGAAGTTTTGGGGCTGAAAATCGCTTCTAGACGTCAAGCTCAGTGACTGACGGAGGAATTAAACCGTCCCCATTTGTCTGGATTTCTTTACTGATCCTGTTACTCTGGAGTGTGGCCACACTCCGGGATCCCCAAGCCTTGGCGCTTGCCCACCTGCGCCTAATAGTTTCTGGAATTAGGTAAGCAGGAATGCATCCCTCCAAGGAGAGAGAGAGAGAGAGAGAGCGCATTCCATTCCAACAATCTATCTCTGAAATTTCCACGTGTAGGTGGGATGCATGGAAATCTCAGCTTGGTTTGGAGACTCTTAAGCATTGTGATGGGTTTTTGCATGTATCAGACACCCCAAAAAAATAGATTTGGAGTTTAAACATTATCACCTTAAACATTATCCCTCTCTCTCACACAGTCTATCTCTCTCGTGGTCTCTCTCTCTCTCAGTCTCTGTCTTTCTATCTCTCTCTCTCTCTTTCAAGGGTTTTGGCCCGCAAGGTTAACAGTAGCTGACTGGGATGATTCCCTGCCTCCAGTGACTGGTCTGCCCTTCCAGGTCCTGCCGATAAGCCAGGCTGACTGTGCTATCATCTGCAGTGCCCGTGGAGTACTGCGGACCCGCCTGGCTCAGGAACAGGACCACCGAGACTTCCGCAAACGGCTGGCCCGATTCCGACACTCCATTGTCACCCTGGAGCCAGCTCAGCTTCAAGGAGACCCCGTGCAGGGGAGGGGTGTGTTCCTCAGAACGTTTCTCCAGCCGGAGACCACCAGTTTGTTCCCCTCCATTTAAAGCTGGACAACGCTGTCTCCACCCCGCTGGCTCTGGCCTCCTGCTTGTCCCTTGTGTCCTCCGTTCCACCACTGGTGGCTGTGCTTTCAGCAACTACGGCGCTGCCCCCTCCACCTTGTAGCTCAGTGGTTACAGCATTCACCTCGAAAGCAGGAGATACAGGTTTGATTCCCGGCAGGACAAAACGTTGGGCAAGTTTCCTTACTCTACACGCCTCTGTTTACCGAGGAGTAAGTAGGAACCCGGTTGTTAGTTGATTGGCGGATCGCCAAATAAAATAATAAATAAATAAGTCACTTAATCCACGACTGTCTGTGGGACACTGCTGTGCGCCATTGGCTGTCACGTTTCGCCCACAAAATATACAGTCAATTCACTTTACAGTATATTCTGTGAAGCGCTTTGAGACGTCTCAAAGACATGAAAAGCGCTATATCAAATGCAAGGATTATTATTACTGAAGAAACCGTCTTCACTTTCTCTCAAATGGTTTCTCCTCCAACCCCCGCGTGGTCACCTGTGGAGTACCCCAAAGCTCCATCATTGGGCCCTTCCTCTTCCACATCTACATTCCCCTCCTCGCGATGTCATCCGCAGACATGGGGTAAACTTCCTCACGTATGTAGATGACACGCAAATCTACTCCTCCTCCTCCAGCTACGACTCCAAATCCACTGATGTTCTCTCGGCTTGTCTAGCAGACATCAGGGCATGGACGAGCGTAAACGTCCTGGAGCTAAATGTTGACAAGATGGAAGCCATTCTCCTTGGCTTCCATCAACTTCTCTCCTGTGGCTCTGACCTCCTCAACCTCTCCGGCCTATCCTTCAGACTCACCAAATTGGTGCGAAATCTAGTCAGCATGTTCGACCCATAGGTGTCCTTCCTTCACCACATCCAGTCCCTGACCAGGTCGACCTTTCTCCACCTCCGTCACATTTCCCACCTCTGGCCATACCTTACCCCAGGCAACTCTACCTGTTAGGGCTTTGGCTTGTAGGGTTAACAGGAGCTGAGTGGGATGTGTCACACAGACTCATTGTCGGATGTCAGATGACAAACTAGTTTCACCGATGAAGTGTACAGTCAATCCACTTTATTCTGTGAAGTGCTTTGAGGCATCTCACTGATGTGATAAGGAGTTATATCAAGGATTATTATTATTATAGTGACAATCCCACTTGTGGGGGAGGTAAGCTGGGTCTCCTTGCAGCTGAACTAACTCTAAGATGAAATGCTGAGCAGAAGAGTCTCAGAATTGAGCCTGCGCTCTCTGGCAGTCTCGGTAGTTCGGTTCCTTGGATGGATTGTTGTTCTCAGTGGCTTTTCCTGGTTCCATGCTTACTGGGTTTCTTATCTTCTCCCTCTGTCTCCTCACCTACATTATTATCCTCAGATCATGCCTGAAGACCCTGCGGATCTAAACTCCTTAACCTCCCTGGGCTCTCCCTCAGGCTCACTGAACCAGTGCGCAACCTAGGGTCTGGTTCGACTTCCAGCTGTCCTTCCTCCCCGCACCCGGTCCCTGACCAGACCCGCCTTCTTCCACCTCCGCCACATTGCCCGCCTTCGACCGTACCTTACCCCAATTGCAGCCAAAACCCTCGTGAATGCGTTTGTCACCTCCCGCTTGGATTACTCAAACCCACTCCTCGCCGGTCTCCCCAGCTCCGCCATTCAAATAATCCAGTTTATTCAGAACTCTGACGCCCGCACACTGACCCGGACCAAACTCTGTACCCACATCACACCAGTTCTGGCCCAGGCTCCACTGGTTCCACATCACCGAACGGGTCGACTTCAAGATCCTCACACTCGTGTTCAAATCCCTTCACTCCCTGTCACCTCCCTCCCCCTCCGACCTCCTCATTCCCCAATCCACCACCCAGCGCCTTCGCTCGACCAGCACCGGCCTCCTGCTCATCCCTCGTACCCTCCGCCCCACCATCGAAGGTCACGCTTTCAGCCACTACGCCCCCAAATTCTGCAACGTTCTCCTTCAATCCCTCCGCCTTGGCCCCCCCCTTTCACGTCCTGCCTGAAGACATTCCTCTTTGTACGTGCTTACGGCCACCAAATCCCTTCCCGCTCCCCCAGGCTTGGAGTCACTGTTAAGCGCTCTGAGACGCTACCCTGCATGGAGGACACTTTATAAGTGCAAGCTGTTGTTGTTGTTGAAGGCCCTTCCTCTTTGACCGTGCCTGCAGTCACCTACCCCCTCGCCCTGGGTAAGTGTCAGGCTCCACCACTGTCGAGCGCTCTGGGACGCTACCCTGTGTGAGAGGTGCTAAATAAATGCAAGTTGTTGCATTGTGCTATTTGGGCGCTTTCAGCACTGACTTAACTGATGTGAATTGGATAAGGAGTGTGAATTATTCATTAGAAATTGTTCTCGTTTTGTGAAGGGCGCTATATAAATGTAGGTTAACAACAATAATCTTTGCATTTGATAGAGCGCCTTATCACATCGTGGAGACGTCTCAACGAACCTTACGGAACGCACTCTAAACTGTAGTGACTGTGTATGTTGTGGGCTAAACGTGGTTGTTGCTGTCGTTGTAACACAGGTGGGCAATCGCCTGGGAGACAGCTTTTTGCTACATCCGTGTCTCTGCCTCACCTCCTGCAGAAAAGGAGAGAGAGGAGACAGCGTGACTGATCAGGAGCTGCACATCCGACCGTCAAAAGGTAGTTTTTTTTATCAGTGCTTCTCTCTAATAACCTTGTGGCCCTCCAGTGTTGCCCACCTTCGCACGCCCACCCCTGCTTCAAACAATCTGCCACGGGTGGAGTCTGTAAAACGTAAAACCTTTTTCGTTTGCGTCAGATATGGCGCCTTATCACAGCGTCAGAATGTCTCAAAGAGCTTCCCTGGTCAGCAGAAGAACCAGAGGGGTGACCAGGAGGAAGCACTGCCTGAACGGCTGGTCCGAGCAGATTCGATAACTGCTTTCAAAAGGGAATTGGATAGGTAGTTAAAAAGGAAAAAATTGAGGGCTTATGGAGTAAGAGCGGGGGAGAGGGACTAGATGGTAGCTCTTGCAAGCACGATGGACAGAATGGCCTCCTTCCGTGCTGTAAGATACTCTGATTCTACGATTAACTGACGTGATTATGGTGAGGTTCACACAGACAGCGCTAGAGATCGACTCACCAGCTAAATGACAGGAGCAAATCTCACCCGGCGGACCAGAGAATCACCAGGCCTTCGTAAGAAATAAATGCCTTGCAATTGTGTCATTGGATTTTTTTTCCATTTCTCAGTAAATGTGAAAGGAGGTGTGGAGCTGAGGCTGAGGGACGTCACCGTGCTGGGCTGGGCGTGGGTTGGCACGAGCCAAGACTTGGGGACCCCAGAGCGCGCGCCGGGGTGACTGCTGGAGTCTAACCAGCTAAAACCACATCGCTTGCCGTTGATATCGCCGTCTGGCAAGCTTTCCCGCTGCTCGTCCAGCGAGGACCGCCCTACCTGTTTGGGCCTTGACGCGCAAGGTTAACAGGAGCTGAGTGGAAGGACTCCCTGCCCCCAGTGTCTGGTCTGCCCTTCCAGGTCCAGCCCATGAGCCCGGCTGTCATCAGCGGTGCCCCCCCCGCCGGGATACCGTGGACCTGCCTTGGCTCAGGACCTCAACTGGAGACCGTCTCCGAGGGCTGGATGGATTCCGATCTCTTTTGAGCCGGCTCAGCTCTGAGGAGTCCCTGCTCGCCTACCCCCCCCCCCACCCCCAGGGGAGCAGATGTCATACCATTATTATTTATCCCATTTGAAATGATCATATTTCAGAACCAAAACGTATTGATTTTTAAAAAAACGAAAGAAAAAATGTGTCGTCGGGGGGTGTCGTTGTGTTCCACTGACTGTCGCATTGTACTAACTGATTCTGATACAACCCCCCCCACCACCACCAGGCACTGCCCTCCGCAGTCACTACACTTGCCAGTCCTCGCCCCAAGCCAGTCACTGCCCTCCATAGTCACTACTTTTGCCAGTCACTTTGCCGCCCTCGCCCTCGCCAGTCACTGACCGGTGGTTTGTGTCCCAGGAGCAAGAATGGGGCTGAGTTTGAGAGATATGAAAGTGGCTGGAGAAGAGACCTTCCGGAAATTCCCGAAAGGTAAAGCCACGGTCAGGGACGGAGAGAGAGAGAGAGAGAGAGAGTGTGAGTGGAAATATGTGGGAATAAAAGAGAAAGAGAAGTGTGTGTGGGTGGGGACCGGTGCGTGGGCAGGACTGGGGCTGGCAGTGTAGGGGTGCGTGGCAGCTGCGTAGGGTGGGGTGGGGGACGTGGGGGTGGTTGAGTCCGGGCAAGACGGTGGTGGGACGGGTGGGTAGGCAGGCGGTTGAGCTGAGGCGTGGGAGGGGTAGCGCGCGCGGGAGGGGCTGACGTACGGGGCAGGGCTGATCTGTGGGCTGGGAGGGGTGTGGGGGGGGTGGGGCTGGGGCGTGTGGGGGTTTATGGGGTAGGCTGTGGGTGGGGGGTGGGGGGGCTGCGGTTGGCTGATGACGCTAGCGCCTGTGTCTAATCTCTGTCTGATTGTAGAGAGCCGATCCAGTGTCTTCTTCGGCCAGATTTTACTGCTCATGTCTTACCTGGTCATCATCGTCACTCTGCCTGTGTCTGTCTGGCTGTGCGTGAAGGTGAGAACTTCACAATAATCCAGTAAACTCCCAATACCTCACCCGGGGCCTGGCTCGTCACTCCCCTTAACACGGAACTCATCACGTTTGGAGAAATTATTGTACGGTATTTCAATGTAAAATTGATTGGATAACTCGCCCTGATTCAGAACTCCCCCACCCGTATTTTTATTGGCACTAAACTTCGTACCCACCCCATCACTTCAACCCTCACCAGGCTCCACTGACACCAGCCCTCGCCCACCGCTCGCCCGTTCCCACGAGCTCTTACGCACGCACACACACACACACACACATGCACGCTCTCGTACACACGCGTGCCCTCTCACACACGCACGCCCTCTCTCACACGCGCGCACGTGCTCTCTCATACACACGCAGGCGCGCTCTCACACACGCGCGCACCTGCTCTCACACGCGCGCACGTGCTCTCTCACACGCGCGCGCTCTGTCATACACCCGCGTGCGCTCTCACACACGAACGCGCTCTCTCGCATGCGTGCGCTCATGCACGCAGGCTCTCTCGCAGGCGCTCTCTCCCGCACGCGCTCTCACACAGGTGCTTTCACACAGGTTCCCTCACACACACACGCACACTCTCGCACGCGCAGGCTCACTCACACACGCTTTCTCACACACAATCACAGTCTTTTAACGTCAGATGATTGCTCGGGAGACCAGATGCTAACCTGCTTGATGTGACCTCCCCATTCCCACTGCAGGTGATTAAGGAGTACGAGCGGGCGGTGATGTTCCGGCTGGGACGCATAATTCGGGGTGGACTCCGGGGGCCAGGTACGTCCTCATCGTTCCTCTCCGAAAGAGAGATTCGTAATTATTCTGGGAACTCTCCAGCTCTCCCTCTACGCCGTGCGTCCACACTCCCAGGTCGGGGTTAGAGACGCCGTAAAGCTCCCTCTACGCTCTCCGTCCGCTCCCCCATCCCCAGGAATGTGTTTGGGTTAGCTCCAATGTGTGTCAGGCTTGGTAATGGACTTTCTGATTCACGCCCACCCTCTGCGACAGTCTCTCTAGTCCGGTTCCTGAGCCAGACGGGTCCGCAGTATTCCAGGGCACGGCTGATGACAGCGTTGCCCAGCCTGGCTCATCGGCAGGACCTGGAAGGGCAGACCGGTCACTGGGGGTCAGGGAATCTTCCCACTCCGCTCCTGTCAACCCTGCAAGCCAAAGCACTAACGGGTAGGCTGGACAAGCAGCGGGAAAGCTTGCTTCACAAGATATGTGGTCTTAATTGATTAATTTCCAGCAGTTAATCCAAAGCACATTCCTCGGTGAGCCCCATCCAGAGCACTTTTGCTGCCCCTTCATTTGCCCACGAGTTAGAGGCTAAAGCATAACAGATTTGTATCAGATACATAAACCCTGCCTTCCCAATACACTACAGTTATTCCACCATGTGGCGTCCTGACTGTGTGTCTGACCACAGGTATATTCTGGTTTGTTCCCTGCATCGATACTTTCAAGAGAGTTGATTTGAGGACAGTGGCGTTCTCCGTCGCAACTCAGGAGGTAAGTTCTTCACTCTCCACTTACCATCCGGTCTTAGTCTCACCTCCTAACGGAGTCACAGTGCCTCAGAAAGAGCCTGTTCAGCCCAGGGCTTCTGTGACACTGCTCTCCCCCCACACCCTGCACTGAGTTGAGCTGTTAACGCTAGTTATCGGATGGTCTGTGACGTGGTCTGAGTGTAGATGTCAGAGAGTTGAGCAGTTCACCTGGAGGGTTTGGTTTAGACACTGGGAGAAACTCCCTCTGGTTTTAGATTAATGTTGTGGGATCTTTAACATCCACTTGGCTGCTCCCACAGCACAGCTGCCCTGACCAACCTCGAAAACTGCATTTAGTCATAATAATAATAATAATCCTTGCATTTGATATAGCAATCTTCTAGACGTCCCAAAGCGCTTCACAGAACACACTGTAAAGTGAATTGACTGTATATTTGTGGGCGAACGCGGCAGCCAATTGCGCACAGCAATGTCCCACAAGCAGTCGTAGATTGAAAATGACCAATTTATTATTGTTTTGTTTTTTTGGAGGGTTTATTACCCACAGCTTCACACCGGTCACTCCCTGTCACTCACACCCCGACCCTGTCTCTCTTACCTTGTGTTGCCTCTCAATGGTTCACGCACACTTGCTCTGAGCTGGCTGACGTTGGCTGCGTGAGCTCCTGTCACTGGTGTCTGTTGCCCACAGGTCCTGACCAAAGACTCCGTGACCATTATGGTGGATGCGGTTGTGTTTTACCGAGTTGTGGACCCTGTGGTCTCGGTGCTCAGTGTGGTGGACGCCAATATGGCCACTCACCTGCTGGCTCAGACCTCACTGCGCACCATGCTGGGAACCAAGAACCTCACGGACATCCTCGCCGACCGGGAGGAGATGGCGGAAGAAATGGAGGTGGGTCAGCGGGATTGGGTGGGGGGGGGAGATCATGACAAGCACAAGCCTCACATCCTGTATCCTGGAGACCTGTAGCATAGTGGTTAGTGCGCTCACTTCGCAAGCGAGAGGACCTGGGGTTGATTCCCAGGCAGGGCGAAACTTTAGGCAAGTTTCTTTACTCCGCCTGTTTACCTTGCAGTGAGTATCACTTTTCGGGAGTAATCCTTAAAAAAAATAATTTGGTCAATCAATCGCCGAATGTTTGTGGATTAATGGACAGCCTCACCTTCTCCATGAGTCACCCCTCACGTCCCTGCTATCAGGATGCCTGAAATCACCTGTCACTCTCGCTCACACAGAAAATCCTGTACTCTGCCTCCAAGGATTGGGGGATTAAGGTGCAGCGAGTGGAGTTTAAAGATGTGAAACTGCCCAAGATGCTGCAAAGAGCGATGGCCATGGAGGCCAAGGCCACCAGAGACACCAAGGCACTGGTATGAGGGGGGGGTGCAGCGCTGGGGCGGGGCGGTGGGGGGAGGAGTCAGTGGAAGGGAGATGGGGTGAAGGTGTGAGGGGGGAGGGGGTACGGCACCAGCTCGGGTGTAAACCTTCGACTGCCTAACGTGTTCGGTTGCCGCCTGACGTGAAAGGAGTGATATAAATGTAATTTAGTGTTTGTCTGACTGTGAGGCTTGTCTAATGGTAGCTGATATTGACTTGTCTCCCTGACGCCTCTCATTGTCTCCCAGTCTCTCTGTTGCCTTACTGTCTCTCCTTCTCCCTGTCGCCTCGCAGACATGTCTCGCTGACGCCTTGCTTTCTCCTGGCAGGTGATCTCCTCGCAGGGGGAGCTGGATGCCTCTCTGGCCCTCAAGACTGCAGCCGTCATCATGTCGCAGTCACCATCGGCGCTGCAGCTCCGGTACCTGCTGACGCTGAGCGAGATCACCACCAAGCGAAAGTCCACCATCATCTTCCCCATCTCCTTCTAGCCCGCCAACCCGTGATCCCCAGCTCCCTACCCATCCCCGGTCCCCAGCCCAATTCCTCAGCCCAGCTCCTTCCCCATCCCCAGCCACTAGGCCCCCCCAGCCCAAACCCCAGCCCCAACCCTTATCCCCCAGTCCAACTCCCACCCCTAAACCCTCAGCCCAGCCCCCAGCCCCTAACCCTCAGCCCAGCCCCCCCCCCACTGAGGTTGCTTTGGGAAAACGTACTATTGTGTAAACCTGAGCACGGATTTCGGCCGCTTTCGGGCGAATCAATTTTAGGAAATAAAAACATCACCGGCTCCATCTGCTGTCCTCGTCATTACACAGCGTCACAGCCGCATGTGGCTGGGGGATGTGTGTGGCTGGGTGGGGTGGGTTGTGCGTGTAACTGGTGGGGGTGGTGTAAGTGTGGCGGGGGTGGGGGATAAACACTACTCTACAGGACTCCGTGAATTATAACGAGGACGTTTCAGTTGAATAAATTGCTGGGAGGCTCTCGGAAGAATTGATTTGCGACATTGAAAACAAGGGAGAAGGGGAGTGGGGAAAGAGCAGGGGTTGGGATTAGAGATCGATGACTTTATTGGAGGAGCAAAACCGTGATCGAATTCTGGCGGTGTCTTGTATCTGAAGCTGCTCTGTTCAAATGAATCAAAATCCTTTGAAGAGATTTACAATATTACTAATATTTTCTCTGATCATGGTTAGACAAGGTTAGACAATGAATGAAATCACCTTCCGGTTAAACATACAGTTGCAATTTCCTAAATTTTGATTATACACAACATTAACATTTGCCACCAAATTGGTCCCTATGTCCCAGTGATTCTGATCCTGTGTCATTTAGAAACTGGTTTCAACACGACAGGCAGCATCTATGGAGAGAGGAAAACGAGTTAACGTTTCTGATGAAAGGTCATCGCCTGAAACGTTAACTCACTTGCCTCTCTCCATAGATGCTGCCTGACCTGCTGAATGTTCCCAGCGATTTACTGGAAATCAGAGGCTTTCCAGGTTTTCCCAGGGAAAAAAGGAAAGCAGGAGAACTTGAAGTCTAAGAAATTTCAACTCCAGACCCAGCTGGAGTGGACTGGGGCGATGGACATGTGGAGTTTGGACTGAAACACCCACTTCCCACTGGCTCAACGTGAGGCTCACCACTGTAAATTCTCCTGCGTTTCCACATATTAAACAGTTCATAGTAAACGTGGCCTTACACACCTCCTCACCCTCCAGCATTGCCTCTGTGGGATTCAGTCAAATGTGGCTGCAGAATTTCACCGTGGTTTAGATTTACCTTGTAAATGTCCTGACTGAAAGCCAGTCATCCTGGGTCCTGGTGCTCACCGGGTGTCACTGCGGACAATGTGTGAGCTTCTGTATAACCGACAATTTACAGTAACAAGTTATTGTCTGTTGGTTTACACTAACCAGCTGTTGTAGTAGATGAATGCTTGGTCCAGTGGTAAGTATCACCATCAGTTCCTGAAGAAAGTGAAATGACTTGGACTCCGGTTCTGTGTGAATCCCAATCAGACGCTTCTCACAGGGTGTTCAGGGGTAAAGTCCTGAGGTCAGATGAAATGCTGAGATTGAAGAGACTGTGCTTCCCACTGAACTCTGGTGTAATCATTGGTGACATGAGTTATTTCATTCTCTGTCTGAGAACGGCATCTGATGCCACATTGGGGAGGAATTATAACAATATTCCTTACATGTGATACAGAGCCTTATCACGTTGTTGAGACGTCTCAAAGCACTTCACAGAATATACTGTAAAGTGGAGTGACTGTATATTTTGTGGGCGAAACATGGCAACCAATTATGCACAGCAGTGTCTCACAAACAGTCATGGATTGAGTGACCAAATTATTATTATTATTTATTGTGGGTGGGGGATTATTACTGCTGAAAAACGATCCACCAATCGATTAACAACCGGATTCTTGCTTAACCCTAGGTAAACAGAGGCGTGTGGAGTAAGGAAACTTGCCTAAGGTTACTCCACACAAGTTACAGTGAGTGAGATAGAGCAGTTACGCTGGCGACAATGAGGCAAGACGTATATAAGATTGGTTTGGGGCAGGACTAACCTGTTGGGAGTTCAGGTTGCCTTGTGTGTTGGTGGGGTGGGAGGGTGGGAGGGGGGATACCTAGGGTGAGTGTGGTACCTAGTATCTGGGGTGGGGGGGTTTCCTGTGGGATGGGGGCACCAGGTGTGGTGGCAGCTCGCTGGGCAAATCATAGCCCTCCAGTTTGATCTTTATCAGGTGACAAGCCAGCGCAAACTCCTCCTCGTCCAGCCAGCCGTCCTGGTCACAGTCGCACAGTACCCACACCTTGCCCAGCACCGTGTTTGGTAACTTGGATTTCACCAACTCCCTCTTAGCGTTGTTGCCGCTGATTTTGCCGTTGACGGGCGAGAGAGTGTAGAAAATCTCATCGTACTTGGGCTTGTCCCTGGCCACCACCCACTCGCTCTCGTCGGCTCCGGCGCCTGTGCCCTCGCCGTAGCCCTCGGTGAAGGGTCCGTCCTGGTGGCCGTTGAAGGCCCCACCGCTGACTACCGGCTCCGGTCCCTGGCCTGCTTCCTCCCGGAGCTGGCTCAGCAGTGGGGCCATATCCCTGGCCAACATTTGGTCAACCCCCTCCAGCAGCTTGGGTCTCACAGCCCGCAACCGGCTAAAGTCGTAGGTCTGCAACGCACCCTGGTCAGAGAGAGAAGGCAATTGGTGAGAGAGAGGGGGAGCAATGGGAGAGAGAGGGAGAGAGAGAGGAGGAGGGAGAGAGAAGCCCACACAATAAGAACCACATCAAAATTTAGATTTACAAATTTACATTTGGCCGATTGAGTCGACACCAGCTCACCGAGCAAGGTAACTCTCAATCCCACCGCCATCTACCATACCCTGCCTTCCCTGCCCATAACCAAGGCGCTCTCATTGTGATAGGGTACAGCTCTAGACTGGAGACATTAACGCTCTTTCTGTTGGGAGCAGAGAATGTTGAAGGTGATACGTTACAAATGTTCAAGACAACCAAAGTCCTTAGGAAACTGTTACTTAGCGTTTGGTGTCTGAAGCACATGGAAACCTGTCGCGTTTGTGTCAGAGTATCTAAAACAAAGTATAGTACTGGGAGTTTCAGTTAGGCATGGAAATTTCCTGTGTCTAGATTGGAATCTGCCCTCTCTTCCCCGAGGGATACTCCCTGGTTAACTAATCCTTGAAAACATTAGGCCAAGGATTGGGGAACCTAGAATGTGTGTTGGAGTAGCTGCCGGAGTTTAACCAGCTACAACTGCACGTTTGCAACTATTGACTGCCAAGTTCCTATCGTTTGCCCAACAAGCATTAAGATTAGGGTTTGCAGGATCAACAGTGGCTGAATGGGAAGAATCCCAGCCCTCCATGTTCTCCCAAATCCTGCTGACAAGCCAGTCTGGTTTGCCTATCGACCTTTGAGAACTGTGAACCCACCTGTCTCAGGAACTAGACTCACCAGAGACCACTAAAGAGGATCAACTGGATTCCAACCTTTCTTCGGCAAAGACATCACCTTGGGACCAACTTAACTCCCAAAAGCCCATACTTACCTCCCTCACAGGAGAATAATCATAGACATCACAATGTGTAGATTGGCACCAATTCAAACACTGTGGGTTCTTCCCGCCCAGCTGCCCCCCAAATACAAGTATCATATTAAAATTGTAGCCTCTCTTTAAAGCAAGTCCCAGTGTCGCACCTTTGGATTATTGTGATTAAGTGCTCCATCCTCTCTCTGAGAAGTCTCTCAATATTTGAATATTGACGAGCTGTATAGGAACACTGCAGTGTGAGGGGGAGCCAGGCAGAGTGTGAGAGAGTGAGAGAGTGTGAGGGGGAGCCAAGCAGAGTGTGAGAGAGTGAGAGTGAGAGAGTGTGAGGGGGAGCCAGGCAGAGTGTGAGAGAGTGAGAGTGAGAGAGTGTGAGGGGGAGCCAGGCAGTGAAACTCCTCAGTTAAATATTTTTAGGAAATCTTACCTGCATTTTGCTGACATTGGGGAAATCTCCCACGGAGATATTGTGCTCCCGCTGCAGGGCAATGTAAACCTCGGAAAGATTTTTGATCATTTCCTTTTTCTTAGCTTCTTTCCCGAAGACCGCTGGCATCTCCTTCTTCAAGTAGTCAATGATGTAGGCGTGAACCTGGACAATGTTGAACATGGACAATGTTAGGCCGAACACAATGAAATCAGCCGCCTGCTTAAATCACATTGAACTTCTCATTGATATCCCAATCATGGCTATTCTCTTACACAAACCGGCCTGATACACATTGCAGAGCAGGTGGGGGCAGGATCTCGGGGCAATATCCCATAGGACGCAGTAATGAGGTGTCTTCTACCGAGATATTGTTCAACTGCATGGCTGTCCTCTGGTCCTCAGTGAGCTCGCTGATGTGTGTATACGAGCTCTAATAATGAGTGTCCCCGCTTCGCACAGCCCTGCCTCCCCCACCTCTGCCCCACCTCCCCATCACACAGCCCCGCCTCCCCATCACAGCTCCGCCTCCCCATCACACAGCCCCGCCTCCCCATCACACAGCCCCGCCTCCCCATCACACAGCTCCGCCTCCCCATCACACAGCCCTGCCTCCCCCACCTCTGCCCCACCTCCCCATCACGCAGCCCCACCTCCCCTTCGCGCAGTCCCACCTCCCCTTCGCGGAGCCCCACCTCCCCATCACACAGCCCCGCCTCCCCATCACACAGCTCCGCCTCCCCATCACACAGCCCCGCCTCCCCATTACACAGCCCCGCCTCCCCCCTCCCCCCCCACCTCTGACCTGCCAACTCGGGTCAGGGTGAGAGTCAGATTCTAAGATCTGGGTCAGGGTTAGTCAAGTTCAGAGATCAGGGTCAGGGTTAGGTTAATGGGTCAGGATTAGGTTAGCAGGTCAGGGTTAGTTTAGCGGCTCAGGTTGACCACTGACCTTTGCTAGCCTGGCTCGCTTGATGAGATCGTTGAGTTTGCGCAGGGCAGCGTTGCGGGGGAGACTCTGGATGTCCGCGAAGAGGTCCTGGGCCTCCATCTCGAAGAGCTTGCGGTTGTGCGTGATGTGCAGTGGGCAGGACCAGAAGGAGCCGATGTAGACACGAGCCACCTCGGGCGTGTCCACCACTTTGCCGAGCGACCACATCATGGCGCCATACACCCTCATCAGCTGCTGCGTGTCCACCTGATCAGCCTTATTCAGCACAACGCGAACCTTGTCATCGTTGCCTCGCAGAGCCCGGATCGCCTCGGAGAACTCATCCGATATGTCCAGCTTGTGAGCATCAAACAGCAAAATGATACGGTCAACCCGTTCAGCAAACCACCCCAGGACCTCAGCAAAGTCGTAGCCTGAGAGAAACACACACCGTCACAGCCTCACCTGCAACACGTGACAGCAGATTCCTCCTGTGTGTCCTCAGGGGCAGCGGCAGCAATAATAATAATAATAACAATAATAATCCTTGCATTTGATATAGCACCTTATCACATCATTGGGACGTCTCAAAGCACCTCACAGAATAGACTGGAGCGTGACTGTGTATTTAGTAGGTGGGGAGTGGGGGTTGCTGAGTGAAGGGTTGGGGGGGGTAGTGGGTGTGGAGGGTGAGGGGTTGGGTTGGGAGTTTGAGGTGGGGGGGATGAGGGTTGGGCGCGGTTTTGGGGGTGGGAGATGGCAGCTCTAGCTCAAGCCACCCGTGCTCTAATTGTAAGCTGTGTTTCAGTCTTGTCCAGCGGTAACCATAACGTGCAGAAACCATAAGGCGACTTGAACATTCTGTTCTCATGCGGTGAGGAGAATCCATAACCCAAAGCTCAGCACCAGTCTTCCTCCTTCCTCTAATTATAACCCGCAGCGAAACCCAGCCAAGAACTGAGCAACTGGCGAGCTGCCCATGTGTCCACTATCTGGCAGGAAATTGTAAACTGTTAATGAAGCAGAGCACATCCAAGTCAACGGCAATATCACACTTCCTCAGGCCTGAACAATAACAAGAGAATGTCTTCCTGAAAGAGGACATTATCTGCCGTTAGTCCAGCTGTTAGGACTCTGACATCGAACACAGATTTCAGATAGGTTGGAAACAGTTAACGTAGAAAGAAAGGTTTGCACTTTTCTTTGGTTCCTCTTTTCTGGGGTTAGTTTTGGTTAACTTCTGCAAAAGCAGAGTCCATGATGGTCACATGAGGCTACGTGAGCCCACAGCTTAGACCACAATTATAGCCACTCAATAGTGCTGAGCTGAGGGCTGGGTTGGCAGCTCGTATCCTCTCCCACACCAGACTCCGTGAGCCCATCACCCCCATCCTTGCCGGTTCCACTGGCTCCCCATCCCCTGGAGGGTCAGATTACACATCCTCATCCTTACCTTCAAGCCCCTCTGTGGGGTCACACCACCCCAGTGGAGGGTTGTCCTCTCTCTGGAAGGTCACCTTGCCCCCCCACCACCCCCCCCATCTCCCCACCTTCAAAACTTAAATCAAGTTTTGCCCATCTTTCGACCACGTTCTCTCACTCAGCCCCACCCCCCACCACTTAGAATCAGCTGTGAGATGTCCTCCTGACATAACAGACGCCGTTTTAATTAATGTTGTGCAGCAGCCAGGGCAGGATTGCCAATAAAATATTCAGGATATTTTTTAGGGTAAGGAGAGGGGCAGAGGTTAGAGACTCCACATCACATTGGAGCCAGGGATTGGGTGAGGCTGATGAATAGCAGGAGATCCTGGGACTTCATAGCCAATATAAGTGGATGAAATGAGAATTGATGGAGATGTTCGTCAGTGCAGTTAGAATGGGCCAAAAGTGAACAATGATGAGAATGTTTTAAGGTAAGGGATCAACATCAAGATCCACAGCCTCACATACAAAGCCTGCCGTATCCTAACAGCTCCCAACATCTCTGACCTGCTCATACCCCACTCCCCTGCCCATCCTCTTCACTCAGGTTACACTCGTCTGCTGCAACTCCCTCAACTGCTCCCTCCACTTCACCACCAGTCATCATGTGGCTACCATGTACCTAACCTCTGGAATTTGTCTCGATCCCTTTGTCTTGCCCTCTTTACCTAACCTTTCATCCCACGCCTATGGTCACCTCCCCTTTCCCTCTTGCTCAGCGTCCAGCAAGATTTTATCCCATGTGAAGGGCAGTGAATTGTAATAGTACTGGTGAGAAAGGAGACGTTGGTTTACGCGCTCAGGGCAATTTCCTCAGTTAATATTTCTCAGTTTCAAAATACAGACAATCCACTCTACAGTATATTCTATGAAGCTCTTTGAGATGTCATGAGGCGCTATATCAAATGCAAGGATTATTATTATGATTATTATATCTTGCTACTCCAAAGAAGAGAACCTCAGGACGTGGCCTTGAAGTGGAGGCGACGGGGGCACGTATTAGACTGGCTTATGGTTAAAAACTGTAACATTGAGTGAATCAAGCCACAGACTCACAGAACAACTGAACAGAACCTGCGGAGTATACACACACAGCTCCACAACCCAACAGCTTAGCACATTCCTGAAAGACCTGAGACAGGACGGTAGTGATAAGGATTTGTCATACACACAAATTCCTAAGGCTGATTGAAGAGTCGTCAGTTGATATCACATGTTAGAGGCTTGTACATAAGTGGTCAGCCAATTCAGCTCAACTAATTCATGAACTGAAATGTTTATTCAATTAGAAATTAGATTAGATTGATCTCAGATGTTGGATAAGAATTTTTAATATCTCGGTCCCTATGTTATACCCATAGTGTGAAAAATGGCCAACTTTGAGGTCATTGGATTCCAGCAAAATACCCAGTCACTACACTTTACAGCATATTCTGTGAAGCACTTTGAGATGTCTCAATGACGTGATAAGGCGCTATATAAAATGCAAAGATTATTATTAGTATTGGTATCACTTCCTGCGCCTGTACATAGCGTGAGTCCACAGCACACAGATTTACACAGACTGTATTGTAGTCCGTGCCAGTTTTTATACTCCACATAAATCTCCCCAATCCTCCTTCCCTCCCACACCCTCTATTTCCCCACTCAGTGAAGTCCCCATTTCCTCTTCAATATATCTACATTATTGTTATCTGATTCAACCACCGCTTCCGGCAATAAGTGTCTTGTGCATGTGTCAGCCTCATATGCCCCCCCACTCCCCCAGCAAGGCAGCCTCCTACCCCAGGGCTGAGAGGGTTTCTGTTGCCCATCATGACCCAGGCCCACCCCCCGCGCCACTCCGGAAGATCTGTGCTCAGCTGGGGAAACTTTTCTTTTCCCCCCCCATCAAAAGCCCTAGTGACCCTCAACGTAAATCCCTCCAGTGATATTGGTCACTGGGAATGGTGTGGGCAGGAGGAGAAGAAATAAACTCTCAAAGTTACAGCTAATGAGATAAGATCTCCTGACAGGTCAGAGCACATTTTACCAGCCTCTGGTTAAGGTGAGGGTTGGGCTTGGGTCAACGGTTGGCGCGGGGGCGAGGGTTGGCGCAGGGGCGACAGTTGGCGTGGGGGCGAGGGTTGGTGCGGGGGCGAGGGTTGGCGCAGGTTGGAGTTGGGGCGAGGATTGGAGTTGGGGCGAGGGTTGGAGTTGGGGCGAGGGTTGGAGTTGGGGCGAGGATTAAGGATTAGGTTTAGGGTGAAGTTTAGGGCTAAGGGACCTGCTGCTCACCTCTGCTGATGCGCTGTTTCTCCCCGGACAGGATGCCGGGAGTGTCGATGATGGTGATGCTCTTCAGAACCTGGTTTGGGAGCTGAGCACACATAAACCTGCAACAGGGACACACACCAGCTCAGCTCACAGTGAAGCCTGTGGAACTCGCCGCGGGCCAGCACACAGACAGTCATCTAAAAAATACACAGTCACTACACTTTACAATGAAACCTGTGAAGCGTTTGAGATGTTTGGGTGATGGGATAAGAAGCTATATCAAATGCAAGGATTAATGTTGTAAAAAAAGCCAGTTTCACACCCAGATCCGACTGCAGCCCCAAGGACTGTGTGTAAATGCGAGCTTCTGTGGATGGCTTCACATCCAACCCCTCTCCCCTTCACCCTCAAACCCCTTCCCCCCTCCCAACCCCCTCTCCCCCCCCACACACCACCCACCCCATACCAGGCTTACTGAGGACCAGCTGCTTAATCCAGGTCCTCATGTGAATGGCCGTGGCAAATAGATGTGCCCGCCGTGAAACCAACTGGAACGTCCCAGACTACACTCAAGACGGACAGCTCCACTCCATGTAAACACCAGCACTGTCTGTGCTCATCTCTGAAACAGGCCACACCGGTCTGTGTTTTTCGCCTCATCTGTCCCATTCTCTCAGATATCGCGGCTTTAACAATGAACACTTCCTTCGGATAAACACAAATAGAGATATCTCTGCACGCACACTTCCTGCTGTTCTAATCCTGTATTGTCTCCCTGGCTGGCTTTCCTGACTTCTCTCTGTAGTGTAGTTTCGTATTCCCCAGCCGCTCACTGTCGTCACAGTGTTATACGTTTACCAGCAACTAACTGGGTAGTAACGAGTCACAAACAAGACTTTGCAAACTTACAACAACAACAGCTTGCATCTACATAACACCCTTCACGCGGGATAGCGTCCTGGAGCGCTTAAATTTGAGACGCTGCAGGTTCCAGAAAGAACAGCTGTATTATGATAACAATAATATAATAATAGTATTATTAGTGCTAAAAATGTAGTGATAATCCTTGCATTTAGCACAGCACATCTCAAAGCGCTTCACAGTATTTCCTGTAAAGTGACTGGGTGCATTTTGTGGTTTCTCCACAATAACAGTGAATAGTTCAGAGATCAGCTTCAAAACAGGGCTCAGCCGACCCCGCCACCGGGGCCGACGCCCCCCCCCCCCCCCCCACCCCCCGTGGCAGCCTTAATCACCCCTCCGTGGCCTCAAGTATCACCCATGATGTTTATTGTCTTGACACTGACATGCTGACCAGGTTGGAGGATGCCGTTTGATCTTGAGTTGTCTTGCTGACTGCATCAGAGAGTGGTTTATGGTTTTTGGTTGTCACACCGAGGGGATGGACTCTTGACTTTACCTTTTGACTCCACTATCAGAACATAAAACAAGAATCCAACAGTTTCGTGGTGACACTGGTGATTATGCATGTATCCTGTGTGGTCAAACCACCTTCAAACTCCACCTGTGCACCCAGTCTTCACTTGCGCAGATGTTTGAGGTATAATAGAGGGAGTATTAGTCAGTGTCAGTGAGATGCAGATCTGACTGACTCCTCCTGCTTCCCTCCCAAGGACAGGTAACTGATCACTACTTTATTCTCTGAAACCTGGTTACATTATTGTGTCTACGGACAGAGTCCTGTGTCTTTGCACATCTCCACCTTACCCTGGACTCTCCCATTGGTTGACGTCTCCTATTAGTTTATCTTCCTTTTCTCAAGACGCTTCTAACGTGGCAATAACATGGCAGGCTTGTGCGTGGCACCACCTACCTGTTTAGGAAAGCATTTCCAAAACTGTTCAGCTTCCGGAAGGGTTTCTTGGGATCGGCCACAAGAGCATTCCCTGGGATGATGCCCTCGTCCCCGTACATCACCGCAATGAAGGAGTCTGTGGTCGGCTCCGGTCCAATTCGCATCCCCGGGAAGTCCTGGTCCAGGAGGTATCTGACCAAATCACACACCAGCACATCAATTCAACCGTGGTTAACCCTACCCCTGCCAGTCCTCAGGAACATGTGTCCTGGGCTGAAAAGTTGGGGGTGTTGGGGTGCACTGATTACCTGATGAAGCTGGTTTTCCCAGCAGTACTGCCCTAACAGCAGCACCATGGGCTTCTTGGATGGGGGTTGGTTGAGGTTGGGGCTATTGGGTTGGGGCATATTTTGGGGGTATTGGGTACCTGATGAAGCCAGTAGAGTACTGCCCAATGAGGAGAACCATGGGGTTGAGTAGGCTTGAGGTGGGTTCATTGGGGGGTATATTGGGGAGGAGGTGGGGTTTACCTGATGAAGCAGGTCTTGTCGGTAGAGTACTGCTCTATCAACAGCACATTGGCTTGTTGGGTTGGGGGTTAGTTGGGTTGGGGGTTAGTTGGGTTGGGGGTTAGTTGGGTTGGGGGTTAGTTGGGTTGGGGGTTAGTTGGGTTGGGGGTTAGGGTTGTGGGTGGAGGGTGGGGGGGGGAGGGTGATGGTATATTGATTACCTGATGAAGCTGGTTTTGCCAGTAGAGTACTGCCCAACGACGAGAACCATGGGCTTGTTGGTGAAGTCGGCAGAGTCAAGCGATGGCGAGTGGAAAGCCTGGAAATTGTGATGCTCCTCCAGGGGCAGCAGCCAGCGGCGGTACAGGCTCTCCAGCCCCCCTGCCACCGTCCCCAACATCTCCGCCTCCCCCTCCCCTTCCCCCGGCCCCTGCCCTGCCCGCAACCAGCGCCGCATCACGCCAGCAGCTCACTCACTGACACACTCGCTAACTAACACACACTGACTCTGACACTAACACAGTCACTAACACACACTGACTCTGACACTATCACAGTCACTAACACACACTGACTCTGACACTATCACAGTCACTAACACACACTGACTCTGACACTAACACAGTCACTAACACACACTGACTCTGACACTATCACAGTCACTAACACACACTGACTCTGACACTATCACAGTCACTAACACACACTGACTCTGACACTATCACAGTCACTAACACACACTGACTCTGACACTAACACAGTCACTAACACACACTGACTGACACTCACAATCACTAACACACTGACTGACTCTCACAGACACTAACACACACTGACTGACACTCACAGTCACTAACACACACTGACTCTCACAGTCACTAACACACACTGACTCTCACAGTCACTAACACACACTGACTCTCACAGTCACTAACACACACTGACACTCACAGTCACTAACACACACTGACTGACACTCACAGTCACTAACACACACTGACACTCACAGTCACTAACACACACTGACACTCACAGTCACTAACACACACTGACACTCACAGTCACTAACACACACTGACACTCACAGTCACTAACACACACTGACACTCACAGTCACTAACACACACTGACACTCACAGTCACTAACACACACTGACACTCACAGTCACTAACACACACTGACACTCACAGTCACTAACACACACTGACTCTCACAGTCACTAACACACACTGACACTCACAGTCACTAACACACACTGACTCTCACAGTCACTAACACACACTGACACTCACAGTCACTAACACACACTGACTCTCACAGTCACTAACACACACTGACACTCACAGTCACTAACACACACTGACTCTCACAGTCACTAACACACACTGACTCTCACAGTCACTAACACACACTGACTCTCACAGTCACTAACACACACTGACACTCACAGTCACTAACACACACTGACACTCTGAACACTAATTCTGATCTTAACGCGGACTCCACAGCACTGACTCTGACTCTCAGTGAAACCGTATACTGATACTGACCACACACTGACCCCGCCCCCTCCCCACTGACCCCGCCCCCTCCCCACTGACCCCGCCCCCTCCCCACTGACCCCGCCCCCTCCCCACTGACCCCGCCCCCTCCCCACTGACCCCGCCCCTCCCCACTGACCCCGCCCCCTCCCCACTGACCCCGCCCCTCCCCACTGACCCCGCCCCCTCCCCACTGACCCCCCCCCCTCCCCACTGACCCCGCCCCCTCCCCACTGACCCCGCCCCCTCCCCACTGACCCCGCCCCCTCCCCACTGACCCCGCCCCCTCCCCACTGACCCCGCCCCCTTCCCCACTGACCCCGCCCCCTCCCCACTGACCCCGCCCCCTCCCCACTGACCCCCGCCCCCTCCCCACTGACCCGCCCCTCCCCACTGACCCCGCCCCCTCCCCACTGACCCCGCCCCCTCCCCACTGACCCCGCCCCCTCCCCACTGACCCCGCCCCCTCCCCACTGACCCCGCCCCCTCCCCACTGACCCCGCCCCCTCCCCACTGACCCCGCCCCCTCCCCACTGACCCCCCCCTCCCCACTGACCCCGCCCCCTCCCCACTGACCCCGCCCCCTCCCCACTGACCCCGCCCCTCCCCACTGACCCCGCCCCCTCCCCACTGACCCCGCCCCCTCCCCACCGACCCCGCCCCCTCCTCACCAACCCCGCCCCCGTCACACCAACCCCGCCCCCTCCTCACTGACCCCGCCCCACCACACTGACCCCATCCCGCCACACTGACCCCATCCCCCACACTGACCCCACCCCGCCACACTGACCCCATCCCGCCACACTGACCCCATCCCCCACACTGACCCCATCCCGCCACACTGACCCCATCCCCCACACTGACCCCACCCCGCCACACTGACCCCATCCCGCCACACTGACCCCATCCCCCACACTGACCCCATCCCCCACACTGACCCCATCCCCCACACTGACCCCATCCCGCCACACTGACCCCATCCCGCCACACTGACCCCATCCCGCCACACTGACCCCATCCCGCCACACTGACCCAGCTCCTGCGGGGTTCAGTGTGTGGAATTGAATGGGGTGGTTGTGTTTGCTCTTCCAAGTTCTGCCGCTGTGCCAGGCAGGGCTGTGCTCTCATCAGCAGTGTCCTGGGTTACTGCGGACCCGCCTTGCTCACCCAAACATCTCAAACGCTTCACGGGGGCCGTTAACCCTGCAAGCCAAAGCCTTAACGGATAGGGTGTTCCTTGCTGGCCAAGCAGCGGGAAAGCCTGCCACACAGAGGGACTACCAAGACCGTCACACAAGGTTGATTTGATTCCGATATTCCATTGCCAAACATATCACCTTGGAGACAGCTCAGCTCTATGAAGAACCTGCTTACCTCCGCCCCAAAGAGAATAATCATGAGTTGGTCATTTGACATCCGACAAGCGGGGGTTTGGACCCTCACTAGGTGGATGGCAGGTAATAATAATATAATAATAATAATAATCCTTGCATTTGATATAGCGCTTTTCACGTCGGGAGGACGTCCCAAAGCGCTTCACAGAATACACTGTAAAGTGAATTGACTGTATATTTGTGGGCGAACGCAGCAGCCAATTGCGCACAGCAATGTCCCACAAACAGTATTAGATTGAAAATGACCAATTTATTATTGTTTTTTGTTTTGGAGGGATTATTATTAGGCTCTGTGTGGAGTAAGGAAACTTTCCCAAGGTTTCGCCCTGACCTGCCAGGGATTGAACTCAGGTCTCTCGCTTGCAAAGTGAGTGCTCTAACCACTGAGTGAGTGCTCTAACCACTGAGCTACCAGGAACTCCTTGCAAGCTTCCCAGTGGGCAACCCAGCTCCGAACGAAATGTGTGAGAGCTTTGCCACCATCTTCCTGCCCACAGCTCAGGTACACATTCCTTCCCACTGAGTTGAAATTACTGAAGCTCTGCACCTGACTGTGTACAGTATTTGCACTCAATCGTGTACAATTGGATTGAATTAAATTGTGCAGCTACAGAATCGGTCCGACAGAATACGTGAAGCTGGTCAAATCAGCAAAGATTCTGCCTTTTGGGTCTGTCTAATTCTGGGCGCAGTATTTATTCGTTTTGCAAGTGCTGTAATTTGCAGGATCGCATTCCATCACCAGGGGTCCTTACAACACCACAAGTCTGCAGCTGGCGCTGTGTGCCTCACAGCTGCAAATACTATTAATCAAAGGAAATATGTGTTTTGTTACAAGCAGCGGAATGTCAGTTTTGTACTTGGCTCCGGGCTCACTTCCTGCTCAATTAGACCCTGTTCGTATGACGTCAGGGTAGGAGGGTGTCCAACAAAGGTTCAATAGATGAGTAACATTGGAATAATAATAACCATGATCCTTGCATTTAGTATTGCACCACATCAAAGCGCCTCAGATGATTTACTGCGATGTGGGTGACTGATGGAGTGATCGTATTTGTAGGCAAAAGCAGCAGCCAGTCGGCCAACGTTTCACCCTGCCTGGGAATTAAAAACCCAGGTCTTCCCGCTTGCGAGACGAGTGCTCCAACCATTAAGCTACAGGCCTCCATGTAATGTGGATTATTGTAAATATCAGCAATGTGGATATCAGCTGCGTGGACATCCAGCATGCTGGTGTTTAGTAGGAATTTATTTTCTGAAATCAAGAATAAAAGCCTTATTACATTTATTATGTTGCATTTTAACTATTAGCCGATTTAGCAGATCTTAGTAGGATTTTGTATGATTTAGTAGGATTTTGTGATTGGCTCTGCGTCACTCACTGTGTGTGGCCACACTCTCCTACCTGACCTATTGCCTCCACTTTGTCGCCAAAAGGTTTCTCCTTCTGCCCTCGCACAGTCACCTGTGGAATACCTGTCTCTATTCTCACCCCCTCCTTTTCCTCATCTATAGGTCAATTTCACTGACTTCATCTGTAAACATGGGGTAATTTTCATGTATATGTGGATGACACCTGCAACAACTTTCTGCAACTCAACATGGAAAAAAGACATCCTCCACAGCTCCCACCAATGTCCTCTCAAACTCACTCAATCAGTGCACAACCTCAGAGTCTGGTTCAATCTCCACCATATTGCCCAACTCTGCCCCACTTCACACCAAACGGCTCCGAGACCCTCAACTATGCTTTTGTCACCTCCCGCCTTGACTTGTCAAATGCATTCCTCCCTAGTTTCACCATCCACAAAGTCCAGATGGAGTTGCCCGCTCTAAACCCAAACCCTGCTCGGTCCCCATCGTGTCTGTGCTGGTGCTCACTCCTCCACTGGAGCTCTCTAATCCCATTCCCTGCTCTCTCCCCATTGTGTCTGTGTTGGTACTTGCTCCGGTCATGGTCTGCAGACAGAGGGCTCCACATTTTCCTGTTGCTGAAATATAAACTGAGCGATGGGGGCGGGTCAGAGGACCTTGGCTCATGTACAGAAGATCAGGGTCTGGGACAGGTGTTTCCTGACCTTGGTCCTGTCTAAGGGGACAGTGAGACCCCTGACAGCCTGCACGCACTCACTGCCTGCTGGTGTGCTGTTGGCTCCCAGTACAGAGCTGAGCAGGTCGCGGTGGGAAACTCTTTGTTTCTCTGGGAATCAGGAAACAGCACAGAATCAGGCTGTCGGGAACAACAATACAGCCAGAGCCAGAGCCAGAGCCAGAGCGTGTCCAGCTAGGCGTCACCTAGGGATCACCCCCACCTCCCCACACACACACACACACACACACACACATACACACGTACACAATGCCCCCACATGCACCCAATCCCCACATATGCAAACCCAACCCCCCACCCCACACACACCCAACCTCCCCCCATAAACACCCAATTGCCCCCCCCACACACAACTCCACCCCACACTCACACACACAACCGCCCCTACCCACAAGCACAACTCCGCCGCCCCCCACCCACCCCACCACCCCCACTCAGATGCTCATATAACCCCCGACACTCACACCCACCCACACAACACCTCAGCCAGACTGATTTGGGATTCACGGGACAGAGGTCTGAAGTATAGCAAATGTGTATTGAAACCTCACACACAGAAGCTTGGTAAATAAACAGGAGTAAATTGTTCTCTGTGTTTCCATAACATCTTAGCTGTTGTGTCAAGATCATATTTCCAGAAAGTAGTGAGATCCTGGCGGAGCGTGTGTGAGTTCTGACCTTTGAGTGTTCTCCCTGTGTCCTGGCCAACAATCTCCCACATGAAATTAATCACTCATACGGCTGCTTGCGGGACATTGCTGTGTGCAAATTGGCTGCCAAGTTCACCTATAAAACACAGTCACTACACTTCATAGTAGATGCTGTTCAGCACTTTTTGAGACGTTTTGACGATGTCAAAAGGCGCTTTATCTAATGCAAAATTTACTATTACAATATTCCCTTGTCACAAGGTGTGACTGATATGTTAGACCAGGAGGACTGAAGTACGGTATATGTGTAATTTCACCAGGGTTTGGTTAATGTGCCACATAGAACTGAAGGCAATATTGTGGGAGAGGAAATTGGTTGGGAGAGAGCCTGAGATGGTACAAAAGGAAGGTTCACTGATTGCTCGGCAGTACATTAACATGACGCTCCTCACACAGGGTAGTGTCCCAGAGCGCTTAATAGTTGCGGAGCACGATGCTGAGCTTGGGGGGAGGTGATTGTAGGCACAGTTGAAGAGGAAGGTCTTCAGGCACAACCTAAACATGAGGAAGGAGCAGAGGGATGGAGAGACAGTGTTCCAGAGTTTCAGGGCATAGTGGCTGAAAGGTGGAACAGAAGGCCCGAGGGCAAGTAGGACGTTGGAGCTGGTCGAGCAGGAACAGAGACACTGGGTAGTGGGTTGGGGAGTAAGCAGGTCGGAGAGGTAGGGAGGTGCCAGGACATCAAGAGATTTGAAGAGGACTGTGAGGATCTTGAAATCAATCCATTCAGTAATAGGGATACAGCAGAGCCTGGCTGGAACTGGTTTGATGGGAATTATAGAGTTTGGTGCAAGTGTGTATGCGGTTAGCGGAGTTTGGGATCAGCTGCATTTTGTGGATGATGGAGCTGGGGAGCCCAGCGTGGAGGGCACTTGAATATTCAAGGGGGGAGGTGACGGACCCATGGACGCGTGTTTCGGTTGTGTCTGGGGTAAGGTACAGTCGGAGGTGGGCAATGTGGCAGAGGTGGAGGAAGGCGGTCAGGGACCAGATGTGGGGAAGGAATGACAGCTGTGGGTTGAACGTGACGCCTAGGTTGCACGACGCTTTGGTGAGTCTGAGGGAAAGGCTGGGGAAGTTGAGGAGTCCAGAGTCGCAGGACCCAAGATGTTGACTGGAGCCCAGCAATCAGAGACCTCGGCAAAGGAGTACGAGCTTCTGTCTTCTCGACATTTAATTGCAAGATGTTTGCACTCATGCAGGCCCTGATGTCTTCCAGACAAGCTGATAAAACGTCAGCGCACCTGGAGGCCCGGCGCGGGGAGGAGGAGAAGTAGATTTGTGTGATATCCGCATACATGTGGAAGTTGCAATCAGTTTTTCTTCCTCTTTATAACCTGATGAGTTAACAGTAAATGTTTTTTTTTGCGATAAATGCGGCTCCTGCATATAGGATCCAAATAGGAATCACAAGGAACAATAATAATCCTTACAATTGATGGGGCAACTTTCACGTCGGGAAGACTTTCCAAGTGCTTCACAGGATTTACTGTGGAGCGATTGTGGAGCGATTGTGTGTCTCACTGCAACTTCCCGCAAACAACCACTGAGGAAGCAATCAATTTAATTGGGGGCTTATTGGCTTATCTCTCACTGAGGGAGAGAAACTCCCTTCTCTTTTAGAATAGTGACACAGGATCTTTAACGTCCACTTGAATAGACGACGGGACCTCGGTTTAACATCTCATCTGAGTATATGAGTCCCAAGTCCTGACTCACAACCTTCTGAATTAGAGGCAAGAACGTTCCCAACTGCGCCACCTGACACACACTGAGCCGGGCCGACACACGCTGAGCCGGGCCGACACACGCTGAGCCGGGCCGACACACGCTGAGCCGGGCCGACACACACACTGAGCCGGGCCGACACACACACTGAGCCGGGCTGAAACACACACACGCACACACACAGAGTAAATGTGAGTTGCTTGCAGTCAGAGCTTCAGTGTGACAGCGCTGAAGCTGTGATCCTGTGACCTGCTGTCAGAGAGTAAATATTTGCTCTTGTCCAGGAGTGCGGTGCACCTGACAGTGATGAACGATGGCTGACAACCAGCCGTACTGTACACACTTCTCCTCTCAAAGCTGGTGTTAGACCAGCGGAGACCAGCAGAGTCAAGCCTCTCACCGTGTCTGTGCAAACAGCTGATCAGAATGTACGATATATCACCCCCCACCCACACACACACACACACACACAGACCTCCCTCCGCACACATACACAGAGAGCCCCACACAACCACCCCCCCACCACCCCCACCCCACCACCACACAGTCTCTGGGCACACACACACAACCCGGTTGTTATTCATTTGGTGGATCGCTTTGCAGGTTTAGTAATCCTTCCAAAAAAACATTGCTCACCCAATCCACGACCGTTTGTGGGGCATTGCTGTGTGCAATTGGATGCCACATTTTGCCCACCAAGTATACAGTCAATCCACTTTACAAGGGCTTTGAGACGTCTCAACGATGTAATAAGGCGCTATATCAAACAAAAGGATTATTATTATTATTAAAGTCTGATCTTTACTGATGAGATAAATACTCTTATACAGAGGGATTAAAAAGATCATTGTGAAAGTAATATCATTGGAAAGTAAAACGTGTCCACACAGATTATTGCTAATACTGCACAGCCAATGTGCTGCACTCTCTCAGACTGTTTGTGAAGTTTACGCAATGTTATTTCCTACCTATGACACAGTGAGTAGGAACGAGCCGGGCTGGGGCTGGGGCTGGGGCTGGGGCTGTGGGAGGGACACTGACTGTATAAATACAGACTGCACTGCTCGCTGGGGCTATAAAAGGCAGGAGGGAGCGATAGGGAATAGTGAGCGTGCACACAGCACATCTGCACACAGCACATCTGCACACAGCACATCTGCGCACAGCTCATCCGCACACAGCACATCTGCGCACAGCACATCTGCGCACTGCACATCCGCGCACAGCACATCCGCACACAGCACATCTGCACACTGCACGTCTGTACACAGCACATCCGCGTACAGCACATCTGCACACTGCACATCCGCGCACAGCACATCTGCACACAGCACATCTGCACACAGCACATCTGCACACTGCACGTCTGCACACAGCACATCTGCACACAGCACGTCTGCACACAGCACGTCTGCACACAGCACGTCTGCACACAGCCCGTCTGCGCACAGTACATCTGCGCACAGCACATCTGTACAGCCCACATCTGCGCTGAGCGGATTGTATCTGGACACACGGATTTGGAGCTGGAATCCGGCTCTGGGTTCACATAGGCACCGGGAGAGAGAGATAGGGAGAGAGCATTATCCCGGAGCAACACCGACTGAGCCTGAGGGGCAGCAGGGAGCAGAGGGTGGCAGTGCAGGGCACTGGGAGGGGCAGTGCAGGAAATTGGGAGGGGCAGTGCAGGTCAGGGCACAAGGGAGGGACACTGGGGATGAGACTTTGGCATCTGGTTAACACAACGCTTGTGTTAGTGACCTGGCACCAGGTAAGCTGGGGGGTCGGGGAGGGGGAGGGCAGACTGAATGGGGCTGGGGGTGGGGGGGTGACTGCAGGGGCAATATAACCGGGGGGTGGCAGTATGACTGGGAGTGGGGGGGGTGTGGGGGGTGATTGCAGGGGCAATGTAACGGTGGAGGGGGGGGGGAGTGTGACTGGGGGGCAGTGTGATGGGGTGGGGGGCAGTGTGACGGGGTGGGGGACAGTGTGACTGGGGGGGGCAGTGTGCCTGGGGGGTTGGGGGAGGGAGTTGGGTCGCCAAGAGCGTTGGGAGTTACGCGGTGGTGGATACAACTAGTGCGGAGACATGTCAGTGTATTCAATAGGAAAATGAACGGGATTCGGGCAGCCGGTCGACTCGGGTGATCATACAAGCCGTGCGGATCAGACTGACGGAGGGTTATGTAATAATCCTGGCTTTTTCGTTCATTATTTCCTTTATAACCACAAAGGCAGCGGCGGCCGGCAGCTTCCAGCTTCACCTCAACAGCGTCATGTGGAGCCGTGAGGACACGGTGGCCGGGGTCCACGAGGGGCCCGGGGGACGTGAAGAGCCCGGGGGTAATGAGGGGCCCAGGGCCGGGGGATTCACCTTCCTTCACGTGTGTCTGAAGCACTCACAGGTGGCCCCCGAACCCCGGCCCTGTACGTACGGCAGTGCAGTGACTCCGCTCCTCACTAACGGCTCGGGGCTGGAGCACAGCCAACAGTCCCCCATCCTCATCCCGTTCACCTTCAAATGGCCGGTGAGTGAACCACCTCATCAAGGAGTTAGACAGACAGACGGATCACAGAGGCTGAGTTTGCGCAATCTGTGCTCGAGCGCACAGGTTTGGGATGTCAGGGAGAGGAGGTGACTCTTATACCGGGGGAGCGGGTGGGTTTGGAGACTGTCCTGGATTTCACGGGGACAAGGAATGTGGAGGAGAGACCATGGTTTTGTAGCTTGATGGCTGCATGCGGCGGGGAAGCTTTCTCCAGGAGATGGAGAGATCTGTAATCGATTTGGGGGGGGAAGACAAACCCTTCGGCCCATCTGATCTCCATCCGCCCTTCCAGATCACCCACCCGACCCACCTGTCCCCCCACCCCATCACAGCATCGAGTCCCTGTCCTGACCTCACACACCCTCCCATATCAGCAAGGAAAAGAGAGAGATTGTAATAATATTAATCCTTGCATTTGATATAGCGCCTTATCACGTACGTCACTGAGACGTCTCAAAACGCTTCACAGAATGTACTCTAAAGTGAATTGACTTTGCATTTTGCGGGCAAATCGCGGCAGCCAATTTCGCTCTCAAGAAAGCGATCCGCCAATCGATTGACTCACAACCGGGTTCCTACTGACTACTAGGCAAACAGAGGCGTCTGGAGCAAGGAAACTTGCCTAAGGTTTAAGATTAAGTTAAGTCAATGGCGAGAAAGAGAGAGTACAAGCTGCCCACTTCTCCTCCACAGCCTCTCAGTTCAGCTCAGTCTGGGGAACGGGTGTCAGCTGCTGGTTTGTATTGTAACAAGAGCGTGACGTGTGTATGTGTGTGTGTGTTTGTCTCAGGGTACCATCTCTCTCATCCTCGAAGCCTGGAGCTCCTCCAGCTCAGAATCCCCGTCCCACAGTGAGTACCCACAGCTCCAGCGCCTTGGGACAGCCTTCCGACGTGAAAGGCGCTATACAAATGTAATTTTGTATTGTACTGTAAGGTGGGGGCTGTGGGCTGACAATGGAAAATGATATAAATTCCCAGGGAAGGTTGGATTCCCTGTGAATGGTGGGAGGATTGAGAATGTCTTTGCCGTGTCCGCCAGGCTGTAGTCAGCCCATACAATGCCTGTTTCCTGTGGGGGCTATTTTGGGCGTGGGAAGGTGAGGGCCGCCGTGGGGAGAACGCAGTCACAGCTTTTTCCTGTATTTTACACGACAGGTTGACTCCCCTCCCCCCTCGGGGAAGCTTTCCCACTGTTAGGAATGAGCGGGAAGTGTTCAGTGAAACCATTAGATTCACGTCGCTCTTTGTTTCGGTCTTTATCACAAACCTTTTGACATTAAACATTAAACATCAAACTCACTTCCTGACCGAGAGCTGGGAATTCTCTCCTGAAACCTGTTCAATTCCTTCGTGGCACCGACTGCCTACAGCAGCCCGGCAGCTTTAACCCTGTGTGTGTGTGTGAGAGAATGTGTGTGGCTTTAACCCTGTGTCTGTATCGCTTTAACCCTGTGTGTGTGTGTGTGTGAGTAAACGCCTCTGTTTGACACCGTCCCAGTCTGCTCTCCAGTCTCAAAGGACTCGCTCTTCTCCACTAGCTCACTTTTCTCTCATTCTCTCTTTTCTCCCCGTCCCTCCGTTTTAAATACCTATCCAATTCCCTTTTGAAGCTACTATTGAATCTGCTTCCACCACATTTTCAGACACCCACTTTCTCTCGACAAAATCACACTCCTCCCTTCCCATACATTGTGACACCTAAAAATTACTCTCTCCATCACTCTTCTCTTCCTCCTACTCAGAATACACAAGACAAGGAGACAGACGGAGAGATGCACACAGAGACAGACAGAGACACAGACATACAGAGTCACCGACATACAGACAGACACACAGACAGACACAAACAGAGACACACAGACAGAGACACACATACACAGACAGACAGACAGACAGACAGAGAGGTGTGTGAAGTTGACGCTCAGTGTGTGTCTGTCCCGCAGACACCACGGGCTGGGAGCTGCTCTTGAGTCGATTTACGGTACAGCAGAAGGTTCCGGTCAGTCCTCACTGGTCCCAGGACACCCAGAGGGACGGACACACCCGGATCACGTTCTCCTACAGGGTGGTGTGTGACGCTCATTACTACGGCGAGGGCTGCTCGGTTTACTGCCGGCCACGCAATGATACCTTCGGCCATTACTGGTGCGGGCGTGACGGGCAGCGAGTGTGTGAGACAGGCTGGAGCCAGGAGTACTGCACTCAACGTAAGCCCCTCAGGCAGCAACACCCCGGCCCCAGCCCCTGCCCACCACAGCACGTACAGCCACGTACAGCCAGCCCTGCCCTCACTGAGTGTGGCCGGATAGTGCAGAGGGAGCGTCACTCTGTCTCCAACCCACACTCCCAGGTCAAGGTTACAGACACAGTGAAGCTCCCTCTATGTCCGTCCACACTCCGAGGTTAGGGTTAGAGACGCAGTAAAGCTCCCTCCACACACTGCCAGTTTGACTGTGTTGGCGTATCAGTGTCACTGTGTGTGTGTGTGTGTCAGTGTGACTGTGTGTCAGTGTGAATGTGTGTGAGTGTGACTGTGTGTGTAGTGCGACTATCAGTGTGGCTGTGGTCAGTGTGCGTGTGTCAATGTGAGTGTGTTAGTATGACGTGCTGAAGGGCTGGCGTGTATGTGTGTGACAGCTCTGTGTCTGTGTGTGTGACAGCTCTGTGTCTGTGTCTCTGTGTGTGACAGCTCTGTGCCTGTGTCTGTGACAGCTCTGTGTCTCTGTGTGTGACAGCTCTGTGTCTGTGTCTGTGACAGCTCTGTGTCTCTGTGTGTGACAGCTCTGTGCCTGTGTCTGTGACAGCTCTGTGTCTCTGTGTGTGACAGCTCTGTGTCTGTGTGTGTGACAGCTCTGTGTCTGTGTGTGTGACAGCTCTGTGTCTGTGTCTCTGTGTGTGACAGCTCTGTGCCTGTGTCTGTGACAGCTCTGTGTCTCTGTGTGTGACAGCTCTGTGTCTGTGTGTGTGACAGCTCTGTGTCTGTGTGTGTGACAGCTCTGTGTCTGTGTCTGTGTGTTTGACAGCTCTGTGCCTGTGTCTCTGTGTGTGACAGCTCTGTGTTTGTGTCTCTGTGTGTGACAGCTCTGTCTCTGTGTGTGTGACAGCTCTGTGTCTGTGTGTGTGACAGCTCTGTGTCTCTGTGTGTGACAGCTCTGTGTCTGTGTGCGTGACAGCTCTGTGTGTGTGTGTGTGACAGCTCTGTGTCTGTGTGTGTGACAGCTCTGTGTCTGTGTGTGTGACAGCTCTGTGTCTGTGTGTGTGACAGCTCTGTGTCTGTGTGTGTGACAGCTCTGTGTCTGTGTGTGTGACAGCTCTGTGTCTGTGTGTGTGACAGCTCTGTGTCTCTGTGTGTGACAGCTCTGTGCCTGTGTCTGTGTGTGTGACAGCTCTGTGCCTGTGTCTGTGTGTGACAGCTCTGTGTCTGTGTGTGTGACAGCTCTGTGCCTGTGTCTGTGTGTGTGACAGCTCTGTGTCTGTGTCTGTGTGTTTGACAGCTCTGTGTCTGTGTGTGTGTGACAGCTCTGTGTCTGTGTGTGTGACAGCTCTGTGTCTGTGTGTGTGACAGCTCTGTGCCTGTGTCTCTGTGTGTGACAGCTCTGTGCCTGTGTCTCTGTGTGTGACAGCTCTGTGTCTGTGTGCGTGACAGCTCTGTGTGTGTGTGTGTGACAGCTCTGTGTCTCTGTGTGTGACAGCTCTGTGTCTGTGTGTGTGACAGCTCTGTGTCTGTGTGTGTGACAGCTCTGTGCCTGTGTGTGTGACAGCTCTGTGTCTGTGTGTGTGACAGCTCTGTGTCTCTGTGTGTGACAGCTCTGTGCCTGTGTCTGTGTGTGTGACAGCTCTGTGCCTGTGTCTGTGTGTGACAGCTCTGTGTCTGTGTGTGTGACAGCTCTGTGCCTGTGTCTGTGTGTGTGACAGCTCTGTGTCTGTGTCTGTGTGTTTGACAGCTCTGTGTCTGTGTGTGTGTGACAGCTCTGTGTCTGTGTGTGTGACAGCTCTGTGTCTGTGTGTGTGACAGCTCTGTGCCTGTGTCTCTGTGTGTGACAGCTCTGTGCCTGTGTCTCTGTGTGTGACAGCTATCTGCCGGTCTGGGTGCAGCGTGAAGCACGGACACTGTGAGAGACCAGGAGAATGCAGGTCAGTGACTCCAGTCCGCAGGCGGGACTTTGGCTCTGGGGTTTATCCCGGACGCTCGCCCTGAGCAGCGCAGAATCTCCTCTGTCAACACTCCTCGCAGTCGCGGGAACGCACCACACACCAGCGCTACACGCAGGCCAGCGACACGCGTGATACATCAGCCAGCTACACACGGGACGCGGCAGCCACACGCCGCACAGCACTCTGCCATCACGTGATCCGATCGAGGAGGATCTTTAATTCCAATGCCTCCCGACATCTCCCAACCTCCCCGTCTCCAGCTCGCTCGTAAAAACATCCCCATTGGTGGGGGGTGGGGGGGGTGGGGGTGCACGCGGGAGAAGCAGGTCTCCTCGGACCTGAACTGGCTCCAAGGTGCCATGCCTGGCCACGGACTTGAACCAGCCCTCTGTGACGGTCTCTGGTCGAGTTCCTGAGCCAGGCGGGTCTGCAGTGTTCCAGGTCACTGGAACAGCACAGCACAGCACAGCACAGCCTGCGCCCAGACACCAAGACCGTCACAGAGGGCGTCCTGGTATGTTTAGGTGACTGCATGCTGTGTGCAGGTGCATTTGTGGCCGACAGGAAGTGCTGTGTGCAGGTGACTGTAGTGACTGTGTGTTGTGTGTAGGTGCCTGTACGGCTGGCGGGGGCCGAGCTGTGATCGCTGTGAGCGTCACCCTGGGTGTCTACACGGCTCCTGTCAACAACCATTTCAGTGCAACTGTGAGGAGGGCTGGGGCGGACTGTTCTGTAACCAGGGTAAGTGTGTAACTGGGCAAGCGTGTAACTGGGCAAGCGTGTAACTGGGCAAGCGTGTAACTGGGCAAGCGTGTAACTGGGCAAGCGTGTAACTGGGCAAGCGTGTAACTGGGCAAGCGTGTAACTGGGCAAGCATGTAACTGGGCAAGCGTGTAATTGGGCAAGCATGTAACCGCGTACGTGAGATCCTAGGTAAGTATGTGACCGTGGTAATAATAATAATAATAATAATCCTTGTATTTGACACAGCGCTTTTCATGTCGGAGGATGTCTCAAAGCAGTTAACAGGATTCCCTGTAAAGTGTAGTGACTTGATTTGTAGGCCAACACAGTAGCCAATTTGTACACAACAATGTCCCACATACATCCATGGAATGAATGAGTGATTTTATTGAGGGGGTGTTGGCCAGGATACCGGGAGAGAGAAACTGCCTTCTCCAAGTGAGTGTGTAACTGAGATAAACAAGAAAGAATACGTGTGTAAATGGGTGTGCGTGTGACAGGACAAGTGAGACGAAGCTTGTAGGGTTTAAACTAAAGGGATTCTGAGCTCACAGTCTAGGCTGACGCGGTGCAGGGTGGGTAAGCCCTGTGTGGCAAACAAAATATATTTTTTNGATTGAATATTTCTCAATTTTGGACTTAGCAAGACTTGTGCGAATGTTCAGGGGCCGCTTCTGGCCCACGGGCCACAGGTTAGCCACCGCTGCATTAAACCAGCGTCTGCCTGTTTAGGTGGACGTTAAAGATCCCATTGAGCTATTCAAAAAGAGAAGGGAGGTTCACTCTCCCGGTGTCCTGGCCAACAATCCCCCAAATAAAATTGTTGACTCCACGGCTGTTTGTGAGACGTTGCTGTGTGGCAAATTGGCTGCCGTGTTCACCCACAAATACATAGTCGCTACACTTTACAGTAGTTCCCATGAAGCTTTGAGATGTTCTCACGACGTGTAAGTGCAGTGCAGTATGAGTGTTAATCCTGGAGGCGAAAGGCAACCCCAGGCTCCTGTTCTCCACCACCAACCGGCTCCTCCGCCCTCCCCAACATGCCTCGCAGATTCTTTCCTCTGACTCTCACTGCGAGAAAATACTGGACTTCCTCAAGTCCAAAATTGAGGGAATCCGCTCAGCTGTCACTGCCCTCCCAACTTCCAACCCCTCCCTACCCTCACCCCACAAAATTACCCATCCCTCCTTCCACACCTGTCACCCCTTCCTCTGTCTTCACCTCGGTAACCTCCATGAAGCCCACCAGCTGCTCCTTGGACCCCATCCCCCTCTCCTTAAATAATAATAATAATAATAATAATCCTTGCATTTGATATTGCGCTTTTCACATTTTCTCGACGTCTCAAAGCGCTTCACGGGATATACTGTAAAGTGAATTGACTGTATATTTGTGGGCGAACGCGGCAGCCAATTGCGCACAGCAATGTCCCACAAACAGTCGTGGATTGAAAATGACCAATTTATTATTGTTTTTGGTTTTGGAGGGATTATTATTAGGCTCTGTGTGGAGTAAGGAAACTTGCCCAAGGTTTCGCCCTGACCTGCCGGGAATTGAACCCAGGTGCCTCGCTCCACCTCCTTGCCCCACTACTCGCTGACATCATAAACCTCTTCCTGTCATCTGGCACTGTTCCTTCCCCCCTCAAAACAGCCACTATCACCCTACCTTGAAGAAACCTTCCCTTGACCCATCACAGCTCTCTAGCTACCGGCCCATCTCTAATCTCCCCTTCCTATCCAAGGTCCTTGAGAGAACCGTTGCCTCCCAGCTTCGCTCTTTCCTTTCCTCTCACTCCCTCCATGAACCCCTCCAATCGGGTTTCTGTGCTGCCCGCAGCATGGAAACTGCTCTGTTCAAGGTCACAAACGACGCCTTGACCATGTGTGACCAGGGCTCCCTCTGCCTCCTCGTCCTCCTCGACCTTTCCGCCGCCTTTGACACTCAATCCTCCTCCACCACCTCTCCACCCACCTCAACCTTCAAGGTTTTGTTCAGGTCCTACCTTTCACACCGCCTCCACTTCGTCTCAGCTAACGCCTTCTCCTCCAGTCCCCGTGTGGTGTTCCTCAGGGCTCTGTCCTCGGTCCCCTCTTCTTCACCCTCTACATCTTATTATTATTATTATTATTATTATTATTATTATTATATTACATGCTCCCCCTTGGTGACATCATCCACAGACATCGGCTAAATTTCCACATGTATGCGGATAACACCCAACTCCGCCTCTCTGCCTCCACCCTGAACTCCAGGACCACTGGCGTCCTGACCGACTGCCTGTCCGAATCAAGTCCTGGACGAGGGCCAACTTTTTCCAACTCAACGTCAGCAAAACCAAGGCCCTCCGCCAGTACCTCCGCACTTCAGGCGCTGGCACTATCAGCCTCCGCGGCTGCACACTCAACCTCACTAAGCCAGTCAGGAACCTTGGTATCTTGTTTGACCCTGAACTGTCCTTTCTCCCCCACATCCGTGCCATGACCGGCACTGCCTACCACCACCTCCGCAACATTGCCAGACTGTGCCACTGCCTCACCCCTCAGGCCGCCGAAACCCTCACCCATGCATTCATCACATCAAGGCTCGACTACGGGAACTCCCTCCTCATCGGCCTTCCCAACTCTTCCCTTCACAAGCTGCAGATCATCCAAAACTCTGCAGCTCGTGTACTCTCGTGCACCAGGCTCCACGACCCTATCACTCCCACCCTCGCATGATTCCACTGGCTCCCCATCCCCCAGAGGATCAAGTTCAAAATCCTCGTCCTCACCTTTACAACAACAACAACAACAAGATTACATGTGTAGAGCGCCTTTCACGTTGGGAGGACGTCCCAAGGCGCTTTAAGACGACCCATGGCCTTGCCCCCTCTTACCTCTTTGACCTGCTGACTCCCTATCAACCCGCCCGCTCCCTCCACTCATTGGGCTCCGTTCTGCTCCATGTCTCCCGCCCAACCCGCCCTACCATCGGTGGCCGGGCTTTCAGCCTCTCTGCCCCCACACTCTGGAACTCCATCCCACGGTCCCTTGGCCTCGCTTCCTCCCTCGCCTCCTTCGAGGCCGGTCTCAAGACCCTTCTCTTCGACCGCGCCTTTGGTCTCCCTTCCACCTCTCCCTGCCTTCCCTCACCCCTACCCCACCCCTCCCCCAGGCTCGGAGCGCGACACCTGACTGTTCAGCGCTTTGGGACGTCCTCCCGACCAGAAAGGGCGCTCTATAAATGTAATTTTGTTGTTGTTGTTGCCGGTGTGTCAATGAGAGGCTGGTGTGAGGGGAGTGCGAGGCTGGTGTGTCAGCGCAGTGTGAGGTGACCTCTCTGTCTCTTGCCCACAGACCTGAATTACTGTACCCATCACAAGCCGTGTCACCACAACGCTACCTGCACAAACACAGGGCGTGGCAGCTTCACCTGCATCTGCCCCCCCCACCTCACCGGCCCTGACTGTGGGACTCCCACCTCTCCCTGTCACAGTGCCCCCTGCCGCAACCATGGGCACTGCACGGTGAGGAACCCCCTCCCCCCACCCGCTCACCCCCCCACCCGCTCACCCCCCCACCCGCTCACCCCCCCACCCGCTCACCCCCCACCCGCTCACCCCCCACCCGCTCACACCCCCCACCCGCTCACTCCCCTCCCCCCACCCGCTCACCCCCCCACCCGCTCACTCCCCCCTCCCGCTCACTCCCCTCCCCCACCCGCTCACTCCCCTCCCCCACCCGCTCACTCCCCTCCCCCCACCCGCTCACTCCCCTCCCCCCACCCGCTCACTCCCCTGCCCCACCCGCTCACTCCCCTGCCCCACCCGCTCACTCCCCTCCCTCCACCTGCTCACCCACCCCACCCGCTCACACCCCCCACCCGCTCACCCACCCCACCCGCTCACCCCCCCCACCCGCTCACTCCCCCCACCCGCTCACTCCCCCTACTCGCTCACCTCCCCCACCCGCTCACTCCCCTCCCCCACCCGCTCACTCCCCTCCCCCACCCGCTCACCCCCCCCCACCCGCTCACCCCCCACCCCGCTCACTCCCCTCCCCCACCCGCTCACTCCCCTCCCCCCATCCGCTCACTCCCCTCCCCCCACCCGCTCACTCCCCTGCCCCACCCGCTCACTCCCTGCCCCACCCGCTCACTCCCCTCCCCCACCTGCTCACCCACCCCAGCCGCTCACACCCCCCACCCACTCACCCACCCCACCCGCTCACCCCCCCCACCCGCTCACTCCCCCCACCCGCTCACTCCCCTACTCGCTCACCTCCCCCACCCGCTCACTCCCCTCCCCCACCCGCTCACTCCCCTCCCCCACCCGCTCACCCCCCCCCACCCGCTCACCCCCACACCCGCTCACTCCCCTCCCCCCACCCGCTCACTCCCCTCCCCCACCCGCTCACTCCACTATTTGTGTTGTTATTTCTTCTTTACATATTACTGATCTGTGTATATTTGTGTGTGTGTATGTGTGCGTGTGTGTATGTATGTGTGCGTGTATGCGTGTGTGTGTGTGTGTTACAGGAGTCACAGACAGCCTATCACTGTTTGTGTTTGCCCGGATTCTCTGGGAGCGATTGTGAGCTGCGCTCCCTGACCTGTGCCCAGTCTCCGTGTTTCAATGGCGGCCGCTGTGTGGAGGGGACTCTGGGTCACAAGTACCGCTGCGTGTGTCCCCTGGGCTTCACCGGCCTCAACTGTGAGCAGAAAGTGGATCATTGTACCAGCAACCCTTGTCTCCACGGTGAGTTTGCCTGTTCTCCCCACCCAGGACCCCTCCTGTGCCCTTGTCCCTCGTGCCCTCCGCTCCACCATCGGTGGCCGCGCTTTCAGCCACTGCACCCCGAAACTCTGGAACACTCTTCCTCCACCCCCCCGCCTTGCCCACCCACCCCTCCCCATCTTCAGACCTTTCTTTTCTACCGTGGCTACGATCACCTCCCTCCCACCCGGCTGGGCCTCACGCTCCGCCACTGTCAAGCACTCTGGTACGCTACCCTGTGTGAGGTGCGCTGTGTAAATGCCAGTTGTTGTTGTTGTCTCCCCCCCCCCCCCCCACCCCCCGCTCTGACTTGTGTCTCCTCACTCTGCAGGTGGCCAATGCATTGTCTCAGGCCGCTCCCGGTTGTGCCGGTGTAACCCTGGCTTCGCCGGCTGGCACTGCGAGGTGAACGTGAATGAGTGTGCGAGCAGACCGTGTGCCGGGGGTTCCCGCTGCCTGGACCAGATTAACAACTACACCTGTGTGTGTAGCCCAGGCTTCACCGGGAGAGACTGCGGCGAGCGGGGGCCGAGCGCGTGCCAGGCCGAGCCTTGCCGGCACGGGGGCACCTGCCAGGAGGGCGGACATGGGGCACCCTTTGTGTGTCAGTGTCCTGCCGGCTTCCTGGGTGTGTGGTGTGAGCAGGCGGTGTCTGGCCGGGCCATGGCTGGCACTGGGCTGTGGGTGACTGCGGGGCTGGCTCTTGGTGCCCTGGCTCTCCTCCTGATGCTGTGCCTGCTCACTGCGGTGCTCACACACACCGGGAGCCGCCGCCGCAGCCACCGGGAATCTCCCGCCCAAACCATCAACAATCTCAGCCATTGCCTGCTGCCCCTGGCCCCCACCAAACTCAACAACAAGCGGGCAGAGCTACAGCTACAGTGCCCGAGCCTCACCCCCGAACACAAGCACCACCCCCACTGGAACCTCGTCAACATCATCAAGGCCGAGCTGACAGCCGAGCGCAAGTGCCACCACCGTGGGGCGTGCCCGGGGGAGGAGACATTGCCCCTCAAAGCTCATTGGTAAAGGTTCACTCCACCTACCCTCATTCCCACCCTCAGTCAATCACAGCCGGTGGGTTTGAGCCCCACGTGGGGGACTCTGAGCTGACCCTCCCGTGCAGGGTTGGGGGGATGTGTTGCATTGTCGGAGGTGCCGTCCTTTGGATGAGATGTTAACCCGAGGCCCGTCTGCCTGTCCGGGTGGACGTTAAAGCTCCCGTTAAAGCTATTCAAAAAGAGAAGAGAGTTTCTCTCTCCCGGTGTCCTGGCCAACAATGCCCCAGATAATATTGGTCGCTCACTCCATGGCTGTTTATGAGACGTTGCTCTGTGCGTATTGCCTACAGCATTTGCCCACTAATACACAGTCAATACACTTCACACCGAATTCTATGAAGCGTTTTGAGATGTTTAAACTGAGGTAATACAGGCCTGTACGTAATGTAAGACTATTACAATACAAAAATACAAAATTACATTTGTATTGTGCCCTTCATGTTGGGGGGACGTCCCACTAGTGTAATGGAGGAGACGGGGAGAGCGCGAGACTTGACAGCCGATCAGGAATGGCCTGGTGTGTGTGTGTATAACAGCTCACATCACATCACCTTACAGTATCGTCTCACAGCTGCCAGTAGATGGTGTGACGAGCTGCCAGAGGGGAGGCCAGAGAGGGCGGGTATAAGGCAAGATTTAGAGACAGATATAGAGGGGGTGAGGCAGAGATGCTGATGCCGACTCCTGATCCTGACCTCTCTCGTTCTGGGACAGGAATGAAGATGCAGAGAGAGGAATCTCAGGAGACTCAGAGTTCGAGGACACGAGGTCAGCGTACGAGACACCGCTCAGCGACGAGAGGATAGTGGACACTGAGGTGGGTCCAGCATGAGTTAGAGACAGAGTAACACTTACCGTCTGTCCACACTCCCGGGTCAGGGTTAGAGACACAGTAAAGCTCCCTCTACACTGTCCGTCCATACTCCCCACTCAGCCACAGCACAGGTAAGAGACGAGTGAAGCTCCCTCTACACTGTAAGTCTGTCTTGGAAGTAGTGAAACTGAGTGTATTTCACTCTGTCACTCACTCTCATTGGCTGCCTCTGACTCTCGCTCTTTCTGTTTGATTCTCTGTCACTCACTCACTCCATTGCTCTCTCTCTCGCTCCCTTTCACTCACTCCCTCTCTCACTCGCTCTTTCTGTCTTTCTAGGTATAACCGAGAAGAGGATTGTGCGGGCAGCACTGTACACAATGTGCATCTCCACTTATTTATTGTCAGCGTGATCCTTTGTTCAGGACCCACAGCCCCAACCACCAGCCCCCCACCCTTCACCCACCACAACCGCAAACACCAGCTCCCCAACCGTCACGTACCCCAACCCCAGCCAAACACCAGCTCCCCACCCCTCACCCACCACAACCCCAGCCAAACACCAGCTCCCCAACCCTCACCCACCCCAACCCCAGCCAAACACCAGCTCCCCAACCCTCACCCACCCCAACCCCAGCCAAACACCAGCTCCCCACCCCTCACCCACCCCAACCCCAGCCAAACACCAGCTCCCCAACCGTCACCTACCCCAACCCCAGCCAAACACCAGCTCCCCACCCCTCACCCACCACAACCGCAAACACCAGCTCCCCAACCCTCACCCACCCCAACCCCAGCCAAACACCAGCTCCCCACCCTCACCACCACAACCGCAAACACCAGCTCCCCAACCCTCACCCACCCCAACCCCAGCCAAACACCAGCTCCCCAACCCTCACCACCCCAACCCCAGCCAAACACCAGCTCCCCAACCGTCACCTACCCCAAACACCAGCTCCCCAACCCTCACCTACCCCAAACACCAGCTCCCCAACCCTCACCCAACCCAGCTTGAACCAAGTAAACACAGACTTACTTTCTTGCCCGCTCACATGACAGTGGAATTGTAGAAGGAAGCTGGGGGGTGATGGAGGGGGCGGTTGAAAGGTTTAACTAAAATGTGAAGCCCTGAGTTTGTAACTTTGTAAGAATATTTTGTATAAAATGTGTATTTATAAGTGACTGGTGTGTTTCTACAGTTCATTCGAGAAGACATTTATTATCAGACGACCTAAGTGTAGGAAGACCTCCTTCTGCTAAATTGGCTGAAGGCAAGGAACAGAGGGGGTTTGTGAGGGAAGCCAGGTCACATTGGGGAGAGGGATTAAGCGGGTAGCTCAGGGGTCTGCAGTGGGACCCTTCCTTGTATATATTAATGATCTGGATTCCCAGACCCAGTGTAAGACAGTTACATTTACAGCTGACACCAAGTTGGGGGGATTGTGGAATCAGAAGAGGCAGCAAAAGTCCTACAAAGAGTTTGACAGGGTAGCACATGGGCTGAGAACTGGCAAATGAAGGTTAATACAGTTAAATGCTTCTGCTACATATAGGATCCAATAGGAAACACAAGTGAGATTACACACAGAGAGAGAGAACGAGATAACCCTGGGAATGTCAGGAACAATTCAGCTTCCGTCTGCCCCTGGCTGACACCAGCAGTCAGCAGGATTGGATGGGAGCCAGGAAGGGCCACTGTGGGAGCTGTGCTCTCTCCGCTGAGTTCTCACGAGTTGGTGGCGAACGGATGCCTTAAAGTGAAAGGACTGAGTTCACTTGATCAGGAACCCTGTGTTTTGGGTGCCACACCTCAGCAAGCAAACAGTATTTGTCTGGGAGTGGCAGGATTCCCTGCCGCCGGTGACTGGTCTACCCTTCCAGATCCTGCCAATGAGCCAGGCTGGCTGTGCTGTCATCAGGGACACTGCTGTGCGCAATTGGCTGCCATGTTTCACCCACAAAATATAATCAATTCAATTTACAGTATATTCTATGAAGCACTTTGAGACGTCTCGAAGACGTGATAAGGCACTATATCAAATGGAAGGATTATTTTCAGCAGCGCCCTAGAGGACTGAGGATCTGCATAGCTCAGGAACCAGGTGAGCGGCCTCCACAGAGGGAGGGCGGCTCAAATCTGACAGTCCGTTAACGTGAGGAGTGTCTGGGTGGGGTAGGGGGCTTAAGTGCAGTCTTCCTGGAATTGTGTCGGTTCCCCACACTGACACTGAACACACTTTCCTATCACTGAACGTGGGATCCCCACTGACGCTGAACATGCTCTTCCCCAACTGACACTGAGCAGAGAGGTTATGGGTTAATAAAGGACAGCCGACACCGATTGTTTCAAGGCAAATCATATCTAACAAAACCTGATAGGAGTTTTTTGATGAAGTAATGGAGAGGGTGGATGAAGGTAGTGTAGTGGATGTCGTTTATATGGATTTTCAAAAGGCGTTTGATAAAGTGCCACATAAGAGCCTTGTAAGCAAAATAGAAGCCCACAGTATTAAAAGGATAGTGTCAGCATTGAAACCGAACTGGTTGGGAGACAGAAACCAGAGAGTGGTGGTTGAACAGTTGTTTTTCTGACTGGAGGTAAGTGTGCAGTGGTGGCCCCAGGGATCAGTATTGGAACCACTGCTGTTTTTCATCTATATAAATGACCTGTACTTGCAATTTCCAAGTTTGCAGATGATACTGAGCTAGGAAAAGTAGTAAACAGTGAGGAGGACAGTAGCAGTCTGCAAATGGACATGGAGACTGGTAAAATGGGCAAACACGTGGCAGATGAAGTTTAATGTGGAGAAATGCAAAGTGATGTATTTTGGGAGGAAGAATGAGGAGAGGCGATATAAGCCGATGGTACAATCTTAAAGGGGTGAAGGAACAGAGAGACCTGGTGGGGTCATATAAGTAAATCTTTGAAGGGGCAGGACAGGTAAATAAAGCTGTTAAAAAAGCATACGGGATACTGGACTTTATAAATAGGGGCATAAAATACAAAAGACAGGAAGTTATGATAGAATTTAATAAAACGCTGGTTAGGCCTCAGCGAGAGACTGTGTCCAGTTCTGGACACCACACTTTAGGAAGGATGTGAAAGCACTGGAGACAGTGCAAAAGGAGATTTCCCAGGATGGTACCAGGAATGAGGGTCTTCAGTTATCAGGAGAGGCTCGAGAAGCGAGGATTATTCTCCTTGAAGCAGAAAAGATTAAGAGGAAACTTAATAGAAGTTTTCAAAATTATGAGGGGATTCGATAGGGTGAACGAGGAGACACTATTTCTACTGGCGGGTGGGTCGGTAACTCGAGGACACGGATTTAAAATCGTTGTTAAAAAAAAACAAGAGACATTTTTTCACACAGCGAGTTGTTCAGATCTGGAATGCATTGCCTGAAAGAGTGGAGGAAGCCGATTCAATGACAACTTTTAAGAGAGAAGTAGATAATTATTTGGGGAGGACAAGTTTGCAGGGCTTATGGGGAGAGCGCGGGGGAGTGGGATTGAATTGGATGGGTCTTTTCAAAAAGCTGGTACAGACAAGATGGGCTGAAAGGCCTCCTTCTGTGTTGCATAATTCTATGATGGTTCTATGATTATGAACGCGCTCTCCCCATGCTGACCCTGTACACGCTCTCCCCACACTGATACTGAACACGGGATCCCCACACTGACCCGGGAGTGATCACGTCTCCACAGCCTGTAACCCGGCTGATGTGAAGGCCGTTCTGTGAGGTGCTGAAGCCAGAAGTACCAAGTTAATGATCTCTTTATTGGATGATTTGTTTTGTGTGGGGACACTGCCTACAAATACAGTCACTACAGTTAACAGCAATTACTGTGAAGCGCATTGAGCCATTATAGGCGTGGATCAGATGCTGGTCTCTCACTGTTCAGGGGAAGCTTTGCGGCACGGGGACGCCGGGAAAGCAGAGCCCCCACCCTCTCCCTGGCCCTACCTCTGTCACTGTGACCGAGCACCCAGGGTGGGCTTGCTCCACGGTTGCACGGGCAAAGCTCTTATAGAGATATGAAGCTTCTGTTTGGTGGGGCATGGGGAAAACATCCTGGGGGGTGGGGGGGTGGGGAGAGAGTCCACACTCAACCTGGAGCCGTGTGCGACTAGTAACAGGAAGAGGCTAAGCTGGTGGCTGAGTTGGTCAGTGCTGTGAGAGACCGGGCCGGTCACCACACACTGGCAGCTGTGCGGAGGGGGCAGGGGCTTGGGGATGGAGCTACTTCCTGAAGCCCATCCACTGGCTCCGCTGCCAAGATCAAACCAGCAGGGAGCTGAGCGGGGAGGGGCGGAGAGAGTGTGGAAGGAGAGGGGGTACTAGGGAAAGAGCGGAGAGTTGGGGGGGTGGGGGGGCTCTGCCGGGTGGGGGCGACAAATCAGGGCACGAGCTGCCTCCTCAGGCAAATTAAAACCATGTTCCAACGTGGGGCTGTTTGTAAACTAGTAAAAATACACATACAATTCGCCATAAAACGACCATTTCTCCCCCGCCGCAGGGTGGGTGGGTCAGCAGCCTCTGGTTAGTAAAAGATAGCACTTCTCGCTTTGATTTTTCCCGTTTTTTTACACATATTTACAAGTTCATCTATAAAAAATAGCACATTCAGGAAACCAAAGTCAGGCGTGTGCTCGCTCGCTCGCTCACTCCTTCGCTGGCTGGCGGTGAACATCATCGACACCTCACTCCCACACAAACACCTTCTCCATGATTTCACTTCTCTTTTTTGGCTTTTCAACAAGCTGTGACACTCAGACCCCCTGCTCTGGGGGTTGGGGGGAGGAGGGGAGGCGCTGGTTACCGTCCCCCCGCCGTGGCTGCCTCCAGCAGCCCCTTGCCGGCCTGCTTGCTGGGAGAGTGTGCCGGGGTGCTGGTGTCCGGGGCCACACTGTTGGTCTGGCTGTGAGGGGAGCTGCTCACCACACTGAACGCTGCTGTGCTGCCAGGTCGGCCCACCACCGGCGGCAAACACCCGCTCACCACCAGCCCTGTCAACACACAGTAACACACTGTCAGCAATAACCCAGGCAGCCGCTCACTGTGACAGCAACACACAAACACACGAGAGATCCCCAACCCTGGCCACATACAAATACGTCAACGCTCCCTCTACACTGTGTGTCCATATTCCCAGGTCAGGGTTAGAGACACAGTAAAGCTCCCTCCACACTGTGCTTCCACACTGCCGGGTGTGGGCTGGGGGGGGGGGTGACGGTGGGTGTTTACGCTGCTCGTGAAGCTGTGACTGACCTTTGGACACGCTGTAGCCGTACGCGGCATAGGCTGCGGCTGAGGCAGCGGCTGCTCCTGCCCTGGCTCCCGCTATGGCGGCTGCACTGCCAGTCCCAGGCTTCCTGCCGCGGCCTTTACTCGATGCCTTCCCTGAAGCCGCGGAGCACTTGGGACGTCCGCGGGCTCGGCCAGAGTGGCTGTGGGCGGACAAGGACCTCTCCTGGGACATTCCTGTGGTCAAAGAGGCAAGGCATCAAGCAGCGCACACACACACAGTAGCATACGCACATACACACAGAGTAACACACATAGAGAGAGCAGCACACACACATCACACAGAAGCAGTACACACACACACACAGAGCAGCATACACACACACACAGAGCAACACATATACACACACACACACACAGACAGAGCAGCACACAAGTACTCACACTGAATCCCAGGAGAATAAGGGAGACATGGGCAATGTGTGATAAATTATTACATCTTTGTTTAGTCAAGAGATTGTTTACAAGCTGGGGGGGGATGGGGAGAGATTGGTTACAGGCTGGGGAGATGGTTTACAAAGAGGGAAAAGGGAAAAAGTAACTGAAATTGTAGATCAAGGCAATGCTGTGGTTGTTGTGTATTTGGATTTACAAAAGACATGTGATAATGTTCCACAGGGGAGACTGGAGGAGAAACTCGAGGCCCACGGGATACGGGAAAACTAGGTGGTTTGGATGGAGAGGTAGTTGAAGAATAGAAAGCAGAGAAAGCAGAGATTGGGCTAATCGCCTGTTTTCCGGTTGGAGGAAGGTTAGTGTAGGGTCACATGGGCTGTGCTGGGGCCTCTGTGTTTTCATTCACATCAATGATCTTGACTTGGATATAGGGGACACGGAATCAGTTTGTGGATGATACAATACAATACTACATTTGTATAGCGTCTTTCATGTCGGGAGGACTGGCATTGTCTGGGTGGAGAACTGGGTTGAAGTTGAAGCAACTTCCGCTGGCAGGAAGCAAAGTTCTGTGGAACAGCAGTGTGTATGTGTGTGTCAGAGCCAGGGTCAGGGCTGCACTCCCTGTTGTGTGTCAGGGAACTGCCGGCTCCTCACCGTTGATCTGGTCGGAGGTGGAGCCCGTGATGGAGACGGGGGAGCTGGTGGCTCGGGACTGAGCCGCTGAGGCCAGATCATCCACTATCACCAGGTCACTGCTGCTCTCGTCCGGCGCGATGGAGCCCGTGTGCTGCTCACTGCTCATAGAGATCTGGACAGAGGAACACAGTCGCTGTCACTGTCACCAACCACATCACCACGGCTTTACACAGCTCACTGTCCACACTGCCACTGGCTGAACACAGGCTCGGGCTCACCGCCGGGTACCAGTGGGGCAGCGGCTCAGCTCACTGAGGCCTTGACTGAACCGCAGCCCATTGGAGATTCCTCACTGCTGGCTGCAGCCAGTCCAGGGCCAGCGCACCACCCCCACCCAGGCTGGGCAGCCAACTGACATCCCTCCCCCCAGACTGATTACAGCAAACAGGCACCCCTCCCCCCACCCCCCCAGACCACACAGGCAGTCGCTGCAATGCAAGAAATTGCTGACATAAACCAGGGGGAGGGGATTACCTCGCTGTAAGGGCTGGGAGAGGGGTTACCTCGCTGTAAGGGCTGGGGTGGGTAAGGGGGAAGAGTTACCTCGCTGTAAGGGCTGGGCATGGCGGAGTCCATGCTGAGGAAGGAGTCTTCTCCATCGCCGTCGGCTGACAGATTCCCAGAGGAGATGTTGGAGTTCTCAGCGGAGGCCAGCGAGGGCGTCAGTGTGCTCAGCCCCTCTCTCCTCCTCTTCATCACCTCACTGTCCTCTCTCCTCCTCTACACAGCACAGCAACACAACATTAATCTCCCTCCACACACTCCCAGACATGCACACTCACGCAGCACTGATACTCACACAGTCGCACATGCATGATACACACTCAGCCCTAATCCCCACACACTAACAAGCCCTGACACAAGCACAGTAACTCACATAGCCTTGACATATACACAGCCCTGAGACACACACACCCACATTCACACAATCCTGACACACTCTCTCCAGATACCTGACATACTCACTCCACACACGCAGACATGACACACATATACAAACACTCACAGCCGTGACACACACATACTGACACACAAACACACATACACACTCCACTCTCTGTGTGACTCACCTTTTCTGCATATTTCTCTCGTTTCCGCTTTCGATCCTTCACCTTGTTTGTCTCCTCCTGAACTCGCTTCTCTTCCTGTCGTAGCCGCACTGTCCAAAAAGACACAGTCACTACACCCTCTCAGTCACTGCACCCCACAGTCACTACAACCCCCTCACACAGTCATTACAACCCTCCCTGCCCCAAACACAGTCACTCCAACGGGAGTTCCCCCACTTACACTTCTTCTCCAACTCCTCGTCGTCCAGCAGTAAGCTGACCACCTCCTTGGGTTTCAGGGTGTCTGGCTTGAAGTTTCCCCCAGAAATTACCATTCGCTGAATCTGGTAAACACAAACGAGAGCCGGGGGGCACGGTGAGGGCAGCCAGTAAAGTGAGAGAGAGAGAGCGGGGGGCACGGTGAGAGAGAGGGGGAGGGCACGGTGAGAGAGAGGGGAGGGGGCACGGTGAGAGAGAGCGGGGGGCACGGTGAGAGAGAGCGGGGGGCACGGTGAGAGAGAGCGGGGGGGGCACGGTGAGAGAGAGCGGGGGGCACGGTGAGAGAGCGGGGGGGGCACGGTGAGAGAGCGGGGGGGGCACGGTGAGAGAGAGCGGGGGGGCACGGTGAGAGAGAGCGGGGGGGGCACGGTGAGAGAGAGCGGGGGGCACGGTGAGAGAGAGCGGGGGGCACGGTGAGAGAGAGCGGGGGGCACGGTGAGAGAGAGCGGGGGGCACAGTGAGAGAGAGCGGGGGGCACGGTGAGTGAGAGCGGGGGGCACGGTGAGAGTGAGTGGGCAGCACGGTGAGAGTGGGCAGCACGGTGAGAGTGAGCACGGGGGCAAGGGCATGCGGTGAGCCAGGGGTCTGTACCTCGCTCTTCTCCTTGGCACGCTGCAGGATGCGTTCCTCGATGCTGCCCTGACAGATGAGCCGGTACACGGTGACCTGCTTGGTCTGTCCCAGGCGGTGAGCACGGTCCATGGCCTGTTGGTCCACCGTGGGGTTCCAGTCATTGTCGTAAAATATCACCTGTCACACAGCACAGTGACACGGCACAAATTACTATCCTTGCATTTGATACAATGCATTTCCCGTTGGGAGGATGGCCCAAAGCGCTTCACAGGATTTAAGGTGATGTGGAGTGTGCACAGCAGTGTCCTGCAAACAGCCATGGAGGGAGCGACTAATTTTATTTGGGGGGTTGTTGACCAGGACCCTGGAAGAGAGAAACTCCCTTCTCTTTTCGAATACTACAGTGCCTCAATGTCCACCTGAATAAGCGTCACCCAGAGGTCGGCATCTCCGACAATGCAGCGTTCCCCCAGCACTGCATCGGAGGGTCAGCGTAGACCATGTGAGTTCAAATCCGACATTCAACTCACAACCTTCTGATTCTCAGAAGCAAGAGTGCCACCACTGATATACACATGACTGTATACAGCACAGAGCACAGAGATCACAGCACCGCGAGTATACATTATGTCTACACCAGAGACAAACAGAACCCAAAATCCACTCCCAACTGCTCTGTTTTGATGGTCAGATTCAATGTTTTACAGACAGAGAGCGATTGTAAATTGTCCCCAGTGAGTAAGGCTGTGTACTTCCCATTCCCCAAGGCCCAGCATCCTCCACACAGTGTTTCAGTGCCAGCCCGGCTCAGTTCTACACTCGACTCTGGTCAGAAGGCTGTGGATTCAAACCCCACATCAGGACTTTGAGCTCACATTCTGGGCTGACAGTCCAGTGCAGTGCTGGGGAGTTGGAGGTGCTGTCCTTTGGGTGAGATTTTAAACCTAGGTCCCATCTGTCTATTCAGGTGGATGTTAAAGATCCCGTGGCACTATTGGAGAAGAGAAGGGAGTTTCTCTCTCCCAACGTCCTGGCCAACAATCCCCCATATTAAATTGGTCACTCAATCCTTGGCTGTCTGTGGGGGACTGCTGTGTGCAACTGCTGCTGTGATCACCCACAACAGCAACAACAACTTGCATTTACAAAGCATCCGTCATGTTCGTTAACATCTATGATGTGTATAAAGCCCACAGCTATAACACGAAAGTGATCGCTGTGCAGCTCAGTGCTGGGTGTGTGTGCACGCGCTTGTGTGTGGGGAGAGGAGGGTTATGGTGCTGGAGCTGTGTGGGGAGAGGAGGGCTATGGTGCTCACCGTATCCGCCGCGGTCAGATTAATGCCGAGCCCCCCGGCACGCGTGCTCAGGAGGAAGACAAAGATGTCCGTTCTATTGGAAATCAAACAACATTTTAGGGAAAACTGGAGCTAGTGAGTGTGTGAGAACTGGTGTGTGTAGGTGTGTGGTGTGTATGAGTTTGTGGTGTGTGAGTTGTATGTGTGTGAGCTTGTGTGTGTGTGAGCTTATGTAGTGTGTGAGCTTGTGTGCTGTGTGAGAGCTTATGTTTGTGGTGTGTGAAAGCTGATGTGTGTGTGTGTGTGGTGTTGAGTGTGAGAGAGAGGAGCTGCTCAGGTACCTGCTCTGGAAGTCGGCCACCATGTCCCTGCGCTCCGAGATCTTAGAGGAGCCATCCAGCCTCATGTAAGTGTGCTGTCTGAACACCATGTATTCCTGCCAATGGAGACACACTGGTCAGCAAAGGGAAGGGGCCACCATGCATGGGGAGGGGGAGTGACCACGCTCCCTGCAGACAACTGTGAGGTTATACATTTTGGGGAGAAGAATAAGGATAAGTCTATGTTAGGGGGAAGAATTGCACCCTGACAACGAATTAGATTTGTATAGCGGCCTTTCATATCGAGAGAACGTCCCGAGGCGCTGGACAGTCTGGGATTTGGACCTGAGCTGGAGATTGGGATCAGGGGGTGGAGGGCAGGAGTAGGAGGGTAGCTGAAGGGGTGGTTGAAGAGGAGGGTCTTGAGACGTGCTTTGAAGGAGGTCAGGGAAGCAGTGGGCCTGTGGGTGGAGGCTACTTACCTCCAGCAGGTCGATCATGCGGGTCATCTGGGAGTAGATGAGAATGCGATGTCCCTGAGCTTTCAGTCGTGTCAGCAGGATGTCCAGCGTGTGCAACTTGCCACTGTCTGTGATCAGGCTCTCCTTGTCTGCAACCCCACAGGCGGCAAGGTTAGTGCTGCCCCGCCCACAGCTCTCCCACGCCACACGCACAGCTCTCCCAACGCCACACACACAGCTCTCCCACACCACACGCACAGCTCTCCCACGCCACACCTCCCCCTGCCCCACTAAGAGCCCCGCCTATAGGTCTCCCTGCCCGTCCACAGACGGCCCAGGGTCACGATTAGCTTAGTATAAAGAGCGGGCACCTTTCCTCTCAAACGTCAGTCATTCAGCTTGGAGAGGAGAGCAGTGCACATACTGGCAGTGCTGCTCCTGAGGGGTTATATTTAGCTCAGAGCTAGGAAGCGATATAGAAGGTCTCTCGGTCCACGATTCATCCCAGAACAAAAAGAAACTCAAGACACTTCCTGGTTCCTCAGCCGCCTACATCAACTGAGTGAGGGAGACTGGTTGTACGTGGCCTTCCTCTTGTCAGAAGCAAAATATGAAGAGGATGGCAACGCTGTGAGAGAACCAGGACTGATAACAATCAGAGCACGTGTGATAGAGAGGAGTGATAGCAGTAAATATTAACCCTGTGAGAGCGCGAGGACTTATAGCAGTCAGAACAGTATTAATCCTGTGAAGGTGAGGAAGCGGACTATTAGCAGTCAGTATTAACACTGCGAGACAGAGGGTTATGCTGTCAAGTTGTATAAAAGGTTTTGATATACAGTAAGCAAGGAACCACCTGGATTCACCAGTATGGGCCAGGCCATGGGAAGTCCACCTCAGCTCAGCCCGGGAGGCACTGCCCCCCCCCTCCCCACACACACTTTGGCTCAGGAGCTTCAGTAGAAGCCAAGGTTCGATTGAGCTCAAACCAGATACTGAGCTTCCGCTCAGTCAGACACTCTTGGGGGTGAGGCCAGCTGCTGTGAGAGTGAAGCTGGCTCCCACACGCTTGTGTTGCACACACTCTCCTGCAGTCAGTGAATTTGCCAGAAGCTGTAACGTGTGCAGTGGCTGGGGAGGGAGGACAGCCAGGCCTGTGCTGACCAGACTGCTGTGCGGGGTTGTGTAGCACCACCCAATGGCAGCACTTACAACCTACGCCACACTGCAAAAAGCTCCACTGATGCTTTAAATACAGGAGGCACAAGGCAGAAATTACAGTGAGCAATGACTGTGCTCCTGCTCACACAGACTGCCACAGAGGGTTGACAGCTGGTCCCTGTGAAGTCTGCTCAGTCTGAGGTACCCATCTCCTCCAAACCCCGCACCCACCTGGGATCCTGATGAAAGACCAGCCGCGCCTGGCCTGAATGGCGAACAGGCCCCCGGGACTGTCGGGGAAGAAGCTGGAGAGACGATTCCTCCAGTGTACAGCAAGCTGTGGGGTGCCGTACAGCAGGCACTGCCTGGCCGTGAGGCTACCCCCTTCCCGCACCAGCCGCCGCTCATATTCAGCGCTGCGATCACAGCAGTAGGCCTCGTGTGGCACAGCGGTCACCTGGGCAGGAGGAAGGCCAGACAGTTACTCACAATGTGCCTCACGCATACAGCACTCAGGTCTCGGGCACAGAGCAGCAAAGCGTTTAAACATCAATAAACAGGGGGTAAAGCTCATTCCCCACCCACTATCTGTGCCTGTCCTCACTCCCCAGCCCTCAGGTCGAGTTCAAGATCTGCGTCATCAGATTCCCCTCCCTCCGCTGTCTGGCCCCACCCGACCCCTGCAGCCTCCTGCAACCCTACCGTCCTGGCTGATCCCTCCGTGAGCTTGCTTCATATCCGCCCGCCCAGCTGGGTAAAGCGCTTGAGACATGCTGACGTGAAAAGCTCTATATCAGTATTGTACAGAGGCTGATCAATAAACACCAAAATGGAAATGATAAGCAACTGAGCAGGAAACGCATTGAGGGAGAGAACCGGGGATTGATATTTATGAAAGAGGCCATTTTGGACAGAGAAGCTAATATTGTCAAGTTACAAACAAGTGAGAGACAAGTGAAAACCAAGGAAAGGCTCACCAGGGAGTGTAATTTAGAAGGTGGCTTTACTATCAGTGTTGTCATATTAATCCATACACAGTGCCGTATCACACAATCAAGAGATCTCTCAAAGCACTTCACAGGATTCACTGTAAGTTGCAGTGACTGTGGAGTTTTTGGGCAGACAATTTGCACAGCAATGTCCCACAAGCAGCACAAAGTGAATGACCAATTTTATCCAGGCAATGTTGACCAGGACACCAGGAGAGAGAATCTACAGGATCTTTAACGTGCACCTGAACAGATACAGCTCTGTGGCACATCTCATCCGAAGGACCGCACCTCAAGGAATGCAGCACCCCCTGTAGTGTGAGTTCACAATGCAGCACCTCACCGTGAGAAAGAGGAAACCTGTGTGGGGCTGAGAGGAGTGGACAGACTTACCCTGGGACTGGAGGTGTACAGGAAGGCTGGCAGCTCCACTGACTGACTGTAGTGCGAAGATAAGGCAGATTTCCGGGGATGAGCATATTGCACGTGGCGCACAACAGCCTTATGACAGCTGGTGAAACACAGTTCCTGTCAGGAAGACCAGAGCATTAAGGGTGCATCCTGCATAGCACAGCATCAACGGCAGACACAGAGAAAAGGGTGGAATGAGATTAGAGTGGGGAGTGAGGACCAGCACAGTCACAATGGGGAGAGAGCAGGGAATGGGATTAGAGCTTTGGGACATCTTCCTGACATGGAAGGCGCTATATAAATGTAAATTGTAAACTGTAACAGGAGTGTCAGATGGGAAGAGTGATAATAATAATAATTCTTGCATTTGATATAGCACTTTTCACGTCTTCTCGATGTCTCAAAACGCTTCACAGAATAGACTGTAAAGTGAATTGACTGTATACATTTGTGGGCGAAATGCAGCAGCCAATTGTGCACAGCAGTGTTCCACAAACAGTCGTGGATTGAAATGACCAATTTATTATTGTTTTTTTGAGGGATTATTATCAGGTGTGCGGAGTAAGGAAACCTGCCCAAGGTTTCACCCTGCCGGGAATCGAACCCAGGTCTCTCGCTTGTAAAGTGAGTGCTCTAACCACTGAGCTACAGGACTCCACCTGTTGAGAGTCTACAGGTCTAGAGTAGATTATAACCTTTTAACACGGTAAAGATGGAATCACTGGCCGAGTAGCCGGATTATTAGTTTGATATACAGTCAGGACACTGCCTTGTGGAGGGAAGCTGGCTAATCTAACAGCAGCCGAGCAGCCTGGCTCCTCTGACCCTCCACTGCTCCACCTCTTCCTGCAGAGAGCCTTAGCTCAGCTGCACTCTGCGGCCAAGACTCTGTGTGGGATGGAGTGAGTGGCCACCACCCTTACCTGTAAAACTCTGCTGCTGTGAATGTTGGGGAAGGCCAGTGGAGAGTCCAGCCATATGACGAGTGCCTGGTTGTTGAGGTGCTGCCCCGGGAGCTCAGCTTCCCCCCAGCTGCGAGTGTGATGAAGCCTGTAGGAAGCTTTGAGTGCTAGAAATAAAGCTAACCACCTGCGGGGAGAAGGAACTGTTAATGTGGCACCTTCCCCTGTCACAACATCACACAACAGGCCCCGGTCACCAGCCCATTCGTCACATCTGATCTCAGGAATCTCTCTCTCTCTCCCACAGGCCTGGGCAACAATTCTCATTGAAGTGAATTACTCATTCACTTAATGCCAGTTTGTGCTTTGCGCCAATTAGCTGCCACATTCACCCGAACAAAACACAGTCACTACACAACACGGAGCACTCTAAAGAGCTTCAAGATATTTCAACTTGACAAAAGTACAAGAATTCTATTCAAATAATGACACACATACAAAACTCATCCCAGTGATCAGCTGGTGTCTGACACACACAGACACCCAACGCTGTGTTTAAAAGTCTCCAAGCCAGACTGAGAGTTCCATGCTTCCTACCTAGACATAGAAATTCATGTCTGGAACTGGAATGTGCATTCTGTCCCTGGACAGACACACCTTGTTACTTAATTCCAGTGAGTATTAGGGGCAGGTTGTCAAGAGCCAAGGCTTGGAGACCCCAGAGTGTGCGCTGGGTTAACTGCTGGAGTCTAACCAATAAGACCGCATAGCTCGCCATTGATATCACTATCTGGCAAGCTTTCCTGCTGCTTGTCCAGTTAGGACCACCCTACCCGTTAGCGCCTTGGCTTGCAGGATCAACAGGACATGAGTAGGAGGATTCCCTGTCCTTTGTGACTGGTCTGTCCTTCCAAATCTTGCCGATGAGCCAGGCTAGGCTGTCATCAGCAGTGCTCTGAAGTGCTGATAACCCACCTGCTTCAGGAATCGGACTAGAGACCTTCGCAGAGGGTGGGCTCAATTCCCATTCCATTGCAAACATATCACCTTGAAGCCAGTTCAGCTCCCTTTGTCTCCTCTCACTCTCTTTCTCTCAATCAGTTGTGCAGCTCACTATCTGCAGCGGCAAGAGCCGGCATATGCTAAGGACACGGTGGATAAGGAGATGAGTTTGCCTTCCTCTCAGCTCGGGTGCACACTGCTGCAACGACCGGCATTATTTCCACTCTGCCCTGCGTCCTCCCAACTGCCGGCTCCTGCCATTGCCATGAGAGGACGGACCACCAGTTAGGGAAGGGAACGGAAGTAGGAATGTTGAAAATGGTCTCGGCCCGGATAGAATCACCCGCTGGGCCGGATTCGGCCCAGGGACTAGCCATTGGACTAAGTTGTTATACAATAAAGATCCTCCCAGTGTGGGCCAGCCCTGCCAACCGCAATAGGAACAGATTCAGGCTGGCCAGCACCAGGCCTGAGGAAGCAGCAGGACTCACCTGGCCAGCATGCCTTGAAGCATGAGATTGGAGATTTCGGAGGGCGACACATCAATAAACCGCAGGAAAGAAAAAGCGCTTCCTTCATCGTTACCTGCGGGTACAGGGAAAAAACAGTCACAAACGTGGAGCAGAAGCCCTCGAACTCCAGCAAACAAACTGAGAAATCTTACCTTTTCTGTGGAAGAGAGATTGTTGGATATGGGCCGGGGAGAAGGGTGACATGATGACTCGTAACCACCTGGAATCAGAGACGTTCAGTCGTCAGCAGTCACATCAACTACAAGTGAGTGGCCTTTCATGTCAGATAAGATAGGAACATTGGCAAAAGGAACAAGAGGAGTCCATTCAGCCCATTGAGCCTGTTCAACGAGTTTAAGATCTTGGCAGATCTTTTAATACCAATATTTACATTTGATGTAGCACCTTATCAAGTCACTGAAACATCAAAGTGCCTCACAGGACTTACTGTAGAGTGTTCTGTCTGCATTTGTAGGTAAATGCTAATCCCATGCCTTGTCACCACACCTCTTAATACCTCGATTACCAAATCCCTATCCATCTCTGTCTTAAAGGTCCCTATTGATTCCACCTCTCTAGGGGCAGAGGGTTCATATCTTCACATCCCTCCACCTGAGGAAATGCTTCCTGACCTCAGCTCTAACAGAAATGCTCCATTCACGGGAATCAGCAACTGGGCTGTGAGAAGAGGCCTGTCTGGAGGCTGGGGAAGGGAGCTGGAGGCTGAGGCAGGGGGCTGGAGGCTGGGGCAGGGGGCCAGAGGCTGGGGCAGGGGCTGGAGTGCGGGGCAGGGGGCTGGAGGCCGGGGCAGGGGGCTGCAGGCCGGGAAAGGGGGCTGACTCGAGGATGGGGAGAACCTGAAGGTTCTATGAGCCCCTCTCACCTGTTGCGACAGTGACTGAAGTGGATAATCTGGCCGTGCCTGTACACAAGCTTGGGAATGCTGTAGGGTCTCAGAGACATGTGAAAGGGTGATTTAGTCTCTTGGCGCTCAAACAGCTCCGGGTGGTTACACACCTGAGGGAGAAGAGAAGAGAGTGAGTAAACCAGAGTCCAGCAGCTCCTCAGCTTCACCCCAGCCTGCTGTGGCCTTTGTGCCTGAGGCTCCAACACCACAGAGTCAGAGTCAGAGCGAGGGGGAGGCGCCAGGTGTGTGTGAGCACTGCGTGTATGTGTGTGTGTGTGAGCACTGTGCGTGTGTGTGTGAGAGAGAGAACTGACCTTACGGAACTGCATGACGAGGTTCATAAGGCTGCTGGTGCTGTTCTGGGCCTGCTGGCTGGTGCCCATGGAGGACTGCAGCAGGTCTTCAATGGAGATCTTGTGCTTCAGCGCCTGGTACAGCAGCTTCTGCCTACCCGTCAGCTGGCAGTACATCAGGATCTCAATCTAGCACAGACACGCTGACCAGTTAACACATCGAAACGCAAGACCCGGACATTAGACAGTACTGTGACACACAAACAATGAATATCTTGAAGCACTTCACAGGTAGAATTGACACACAGCCTCCACACAGCCAACCCACCACAGCCTCCACACAGCCTGCCCACCACAGGCCCCAGCCCACCACAGGCCCCAGCCCACCACAGGCCCCAGCCCACCACAGGCCCCAGCCCACAAGGCCCAGCCCACCACAGGCCCCAGCCCACCACAGGCCCCAGCCCACCACAGGCCCCAGCCCACCACAGGCCCCAGCCCACCACAGGCCCCAGCCCACCACAGGCCCCAGCCCACCACAGCCCTGACACAGCCAACCCAGCTTAGCCCTGACACAGCCAGTCCACCACAGCAAACCACTGGCCAAGAGTGAGGTGAGCAGTACTGTAGTGTAGCGCAGCGCTCTGGATTACCTTATCAGAGAGCTCATTCTCCACATCCTTTTTTATCCTCCGCAGCATGAAAGGTTTGAGAATCATGTGTAGGCGAGACAGCTGGTCTGGGAACAGAACATGTTCTGTTTATACAGCGAATCTGACAGAAAATAAAGCACGGCAGCAAGGTGTGGGCCTGCTGAAGGGGCTGAGGTAACATGGAATATTATAATGGAGCTTACTCAATTTACTCCCAAATAACCTGGGAATATTACTACAGATGATACCAGGGATGAGTGTGGGGGGTGGGGGGAAGAGATCAGAACAGGTCAGCGAGTAGATAGTGGGTGGAAGAGTAGAATGGGGGGGTGGCGCTGGGAGAGACTTACTCTCATCGATAGCAGACTTGTTCTCCGCATGGCTCTCGATGTCCCGGGAGAACCACTCGTTGAATTCATCGTGGGAGTCGAAGAGAGTGGGCATGATGAAGTGCAGCAGGGCCCAAAGCTGTGGAGACACAGAATGCTGCACTCAGCTCAGGCCAGCCACAAACAACATCCACCATGAGACTGCAGTCTATAACTGCAGTATACAGCACAGAGTAGGTCTTTTATTCCATTGGGTCTGTGCTGGTGCTTGCTCCCCACTCTAATCCCATTCCCTGCTTGATCACCATCGTGTCTGTGCTGGTGCTCGCTCCCCCACTGGAGCTCACTACTCTAATCCCAATCCCTGCTCTCTCCCCAACATGTCTGCGCTGGTGCTCACTCCCCTACTGGAGCTGCTACATGCCAAGTGCAGCACTGACCAGTGAAAGCCTGGCTGTTACTCACCTCAGCCATGGTGTTCTGGATGGGCGTCCCCGTCAGCAGCAGCCTATTTCGACATTGAAATTGTAACAGGATCTTCCATCGCACACTGCAGAGGATGGCGTGCTGTTAGTGAATTCAGAGCCCTGCCTCCAGCCGCTCACAGCCCCCACACCCACCTACTCACAGCCCCACCCCCCCATGCTAACAGCCCTGCCTCCCCCCCAGCAATCTGGGCCCCGTCTCACCCCTGCACTCACAAATCGCCTCCTCCCAGCACGCAGTCCCACCTCCCATCACGCTCACTGCCCAACCTCCCCCAGCACTCACAGCCCCGCCTCCCCTCCAGCACTTACAGCCTCACCTCCCCTTACGCTCACAGGCCCGCCTCCCCACCCCGCACTCAGAGCCCTATCTCCCCCCCCACCTCACACTCAGTGAGCACTAACTATCCCAGGAAGAGCTGAGAGTTCATGGGTGTCCCTCCCTGGACACACAGGCAGCAGAAGCCTGTGTTCCTTCACACAGAGAGAGAAAGAGACAGACAGACCGAGAGAGAGAGAGAGACAGACAGATAGACCGAGAGAGAGGGACAGACAGACAGACCGAGAGAGACAGACAGACCAAAACACAGACAGACACACCTGGAGCTGCTTTTGAGAGCCTGGGCCTCGTCCAGCACCATGTATTGCCACTTGACCCTCTGGAAGTACTTGACGTCCTGCACCACCAGCTGGTAGCTGGTTATCACCACGTGGAATGGGGCATCCTGTGTGTATAGCGTCTTCTGTAGGCCAGAGTGGACACACACCTCAGCACTCACCTCACCACTCACCTGCAGGGGAAGGGGCCAAGAGGACCAGGGAGGTCTAGGGGGGGGAGGGGTGTTACTGGAGGAGGAAGCAAGAGGCAGGGGAAAGGGTGCGTCCAGGGCGGGGGGGTGGGGGGAGTTCCTGGGAGTAAGGTGAGACTATAAGGGCGAGTTTGTGGGGGAGACGTACCTGAGGGGTGGGGGAACTCATCTGAGGGAGGGGTAATGGTGGTGACGTACCTGACTCCAGAATTTCCTGATCACCTTTCGGTCGTGCGGGTTCCCCCAGTACGGCAGCACCTGAGAACAATATTAGCAGCTGCTCAGTAAACCTGCCCTACCCAACAGTGCTCTCAGCTCAGTCACACAATGCCCTACTCAGCAGTGCTCTCAGTACATTCCCCAGTCACACTGACACCTCAACTTCTTCCCCCCAGTCCCCACCAGCCCCACTTCCTTCCCAGACCCACTCCCTCCTTCCCTAGCCCCCTCCCTCACCTTGAACCGAGGAACAAATCTGGTGAATTCCTGGTGCCAGTTGTTGAGGGTTGAAGCGGGGGAGATGATTAAAAACGGACCCCAGATGTTCTCCCTCTGTAAAGAGAAGACGTCTTAATTAATCAAAATAACAATAATAATCCTTCCATTTGGATACAGTGCCTTATCACGTCATAGAGATATCCTGGGAGCACTTCACAGGGCGCATTGTAAAATGGACTGTGTACTTTGTGGACAAAACGATCCCATGTCCTGGACTGAACTCCACTAACTGACCTGATCCTCATGGAGGTGCCCACAAGGTACTCGTGTTAACAATGCGACGCGGCCTAGTGACCCCACTGCGAGTGACTGAAACAGCCACTCATCTCTAACATTTACCTCAGCCAAGTGTGCCAGGAAAGCGATGCTCTGCACCGTCTTCCCCAGCCCCATTTCATCAGCCAATATCCCGTTGATACCCTAGAGACAGAAAGCAAGAGAACATGGCGTTAGCCCTGAGGCCTCACAGACTGACTGCACAGTAACAGGCCCTCTCAGTGCAGCACTTTACCTGCTCGTACAAGTTGGCGAGCCAGTTCATGCCCTTCAGCTGATAGGCCTTGAGTTTGCCAATGAACATGGCAGGCTGTGGGATATCCTCCCCAGCGCAGATGGAAGGATTGGCCAAGCTGTAACTCTCCCCAAACCCCGTGCCGGACTCGTTGGCTGCCCGCAGCGCTGCCATCCGGCTCTCCTTTGCTTCCTCATCAAACAGCCGGGTCTGCAACCACAATACGCAGTCAGTGAAATAATCACATCCGTCCATCTGATACAGCGCCTTATAACATCATCGAGATTCAAAATACCTCACAGGATATAGTACAAAGTAATGGGTGTGTTTTGAGGGTGAATGTGGTAGCTCATCTAACATTAATAATGTTGATACAGTGCCTTTCGGCGGGGTCAACAGCTCAATTGCTCCACAGGATACACTGTAAAGTGTAGTGACTGTGTATGTTTTGGCTGAACATATAGGCCTGGAGTGAGAGAGCCGGGAGAGACAAACTCCTCTTTTTAATCGTGCCATGGGCTCTTTAATATCCATTTGCTGGGACCTCAGTTTACACAGACAGCTTAACCAGGCATGGACATGGCATTTGGGGTAATGTCCCTGACAACTCCCTAAGTCCAAGAACATTAAAGCACAGAAACTGGCCTGACACCAGAACGCACTCAGCATTTCAGGGATATTTCACCAATATTCCATCAAAAACAACAAGAAATTGCATTTCACATCCCAGAACAGGTTCACCATGGACTCTTAGGTTCAATTTCTACTGGCAGGAATCAGGGTTCCAACCCTCTGCTGGAAAGGTGTGGTGGGTGAGGTATGTGTGAGCTGTGAGGTGGGTACAAGGGGTGCGAGGGGTATGAGGTGTGTTGGGTGTGAGGTGTAAGGTGTGTGTGGTGTGCGTGTTGTGGGGTGTTTGTGAGGTGCATGAGGATAGGAATGAGACCCTGCCAACACTCACTATCTGGGCTCCCAAGTCACTTGGGAGGCACCAAGCACTCGTGCCACACACCCGGCAAAAAACATCAGCACTCATTGCAAGTCTTCCCCCCCCTTCCAAGCACACCCCTCCCCAAGGCAACTCAACTTCCTCTGCCTCCAGCCTGTCCGTCACAGTTCCCAATTCACACCTATGCCAATCGGCATCAACTCCAGACTGATAGCAGGTAACCCAGTGACAGCTGTGAGCAGCCTTGTACACTGACTTGAGTGACTGTGAGTGAGGTGGTGAGTGTGAGTGAGGTGGTGACTGTGTGAGTGAGGCGGTGACTGACCCGAGCTTGCTGCACTTGATAAGCTTCCTCAGCGTTCTTCAGTGCCTGGGCCTTGTAGTACTCACTGTCTGCAAATCACAAGGGACAGCATCGGTCAGACAGCACTCCAGTCCCCTCTTCCCTCCAACACGCTACGCCCTGCGCTTCTTCACCACCAAAAGCCAACCCCTATGCTCTCCCACCTCCCTCCCATAGCGCTCTCCACTTCCCCCTGCGCGGCGCTGACCGTAATCCTCCTGGGTGAGGTTAATGAGGACTCCGCCACCGATGTGGACCTGCCGGTACGTGACGCTGTCGTCCAGCTTGAGGAGGATGCGGTCCTGCTCCTCGTCGCTCTCGCTCTCCCGCTTCCGGCTCATAAAGTGAGCGTACAGCTCTGTCTGTGTGATCAGGAAGTTCAGCTTCCTCTGCTGTCGCTTAGCCTAGGAGAACACAGCCAGTTAGTGCCTCCCCAATACCCCGCATAGCCCGAGCCCTGCACGGCCCCCGATCCTGTCACTAACCCCTGACCCTGTCACTAACCCCCAACCCTGTCCCTCACTGTCACTAAACCCCTCACTGCCCCTCACTATCACTAACCCCTTCACTGTCAGTAACCTCCCCTCTGCCTGCAGTTGGGGCTCTCACTGGCTGGCTGTGTCTGGGTTCTGTAGCCCATTAATGCCTTGACACAGTTTCGCTCACCTCCCGCATCTCCTCGTCCAGCTTGCGCTGCTCGAGCGCCTCCTTCTCTGCCCGCTTGCGATGTTCCTTCTCCACCTTCTCGTACCTCTTCCAGTACAGTAGCATTTCCCTGGTCAGCCGGCGGGCTCGGGGCAGTGTCTCCTTACAGTTCTTTTGGGCCTGGATAGCAGCTCTCCTCACCTCTCGCATACACTGGTACGCCAGCTGTGGGTAGCCAGGTTCAGCAATCAGCACCCGCCAGGGGGGTGGTGGAGTGGGGGGAAGCATAGTGAGCGCTGTGAGGTGGTGGGGAGTGGGGGAGACGTGGGAGCACAGTGACTGCTGTGGAGGGAGCACGGTGACTGCTGTGGGGGGAGCACGGTGACTGCTGTGGGGGGAGCACAGTGACTGCTGTGGGGGGAGCACAGTGACTGCTGTGGGGGGGGGCGGGGTGGAGAACAGTGACTGCTGTGTGGGGGGGGGAGCACAGTGACTGCTGTGTGGGGGGGGGGGGGGGGGAGCACAGTGACTGCTGTTGGGGTGGGGGGGCAGAGCACAGTGACTGCTGTGGGGGGAGCACAGTGACTGCTGTGTGGGGGGGAGCACAGTGACTGCTGTGTGGGGGGGGAGCACAGTGACTGCTGTGTGGGGGGGGAGCACAGTGACTGCTGTGTGGGGGGGGAGCACAGTGACTGCTGTGTGGGGGGGGAGCACAGTGACTGCTGTGTGGGGGGGGGAGCACAGTGACTGCTGTGTGGGGGGGGAGCACAGTGACTGCTGTGTGGGGGGGAGCACAGTGACTGCTGTGTGGGGGGGGGGGAGCACAGTGACTGCTGTGGGGGGGGGGGAGCACAGTGACTGCTGTGGGGGGGGGGGAGAGCACAGTGACTGTTGTGGGGGGGGGGAGCACAGTGACTGCTGTGGGGGGGGGGGGAGCACAGTGACTGCTGTGTGGGGGGAGCACAGTGACTGTTGTGGGGGGGGGGGGGAGCACAGTGACTGCTGTGTGTGGGGGAGCACAGTGCCTGCTGTGTGTGGGGGTGGGATGGGGGGGGGAGACAGCGTGGTGGGGAAAAGAGGAGAGTGTCACATTTACCTTCTTGGTGTTTGTCAGGATCATGTTCCGTGCGGAGGATTTCTGTTTGTACATCTGCACAGAACACAAAGCAAGGGTTACTGATCCAACGCAACAGGCCAGCCACAGCCCTGTGTCACTTTTTTTGCCCAGCCGAGCGTCTAACACAAATGGGAAATTCATCACCATGCTTAAGAGTCTCCTAACCAAGCTGAGATTTCCTTGCATCCCACCTGCACGTGGAAATTCCAGAGATAGATTGTTGGAATGGAAATGCGGGGATGGACACATCCTGCTTGCATAATTCCGGAAATTATTTGGCGCAGGTTGGCAAGAGCCAAGCCTTGTGGACCCCAGAGTGTGCGTTGGGGTAACTGCTGAAGTCTAACCAGCATAGCTTGCCATTGAGAACACTGTCTGGCAAGCTTTCCCGCTGCTTGTCCAGCTGGGACCACACTACCCGTTAGAGCTTTGGCTTGCAGGGTTAACAGGAGCTGAGTGGGAGGGTTCTCTGCCTCCAGTGACTGGTCTGTGTCATGTGATGATGTAAGTGAAACACAGTGTATGGTATGATATCATGACAAAAGTGCACCGCAATGGTGACAGTGTGTGCAATAACTGTGAAAGTGTGATAGATGTATAAGGCTGTGAGAGTGTTGTTGATGTGAGCGTTTGACGTGAGTAAGACAAATGTAGCTGGTGTGAGACAGTGCTGGAGCTCACCTTGGGCACCTCTTTCTTGGCGATGCTGAGCCACACCTTGCGGCGCCGGGCGTTCAGCTGCTCCAGGCTCAGGTGCTTTTTCTTGGAGCCGGGCGGAGGGGCGTCGTGTGAAAACTTGGCAAAGATTTTCATCTCCAGGCGGTGGGGCGACTCCCCAATGGAGTGCTCCACCTCCCGCCTCCTCTTTACCTTCTTCAGCTTAGCTACAACAAACACCAGGGCTCCGTTACTCCTCACACACACCAGGCCTCCGTTACTCTTCATACACACCCACCAGAGCACTATTATTTCTCATACACACCCACACACCAGGGCTCTGTTACTCCTCTCACACACACACACTCCAGAGCTCCATTACTTCTCATACACACACACCAGAGCTCTGTTACTCCTCATACACACCCACACACATGCCAGGGCTCTGTTACTCCTCACACCAGGGTTCCGTTGCTTACACTAAAAAGAAGCAACAACAACCTGCACTTATAAAGCGCTTTCACACGGGGCAACGTCTCAAAGCACTGAACAATGGTGGCGTTCATTGCCCAACCAGTGAGAATCGGGAGGTGACCACAGGCCTGGATACAGAGTAAAGCACAGGGAAGGGCACAGGGCAGGGCGGTGGGACATAGGGCATTGGCAAGCAGCAGGGGCAAGGATTGCGAGAGGCAAGACTCACCCTTTAGCTTCTTCTCCTCCTTCTTCTTCTTCTTGCTGGGACCCAGGACATGGCGTTGCTGCTCGTAGAAGTGGTCATGTGTGGAGAGCAGCCCGGTGCTGTAATACTGGTACTGGTGCTGCTACAGGGACACCAGACACTCAGCATCAGGCTCACACAGACACCCACCCCAACCCTCACAGACACCCACCCCAACCCTCACACAGACACCCACCCCAACCCTCACACAGACACCCACCCCAACCCTCACACACCCCAACCTTCACACACACACACACACCCCAACCCTCACACAGACACCCACCCCAACCCTCACACACACACACCCACCCTAAAACTCTGAGGAACAGAGACATTAGAAACTCTGACACAGAGACCGACCCGACGGGGGCAGAGGTGTAAGGGGAGTGGGGTGACAGGTGGAGGAGGGTTAAGGGGGGAGGGTCTCTGACTTGCCTCGCGGTCACTGTGCACCCGGCTCTGGTGGAGTTTGCGGGACTTGTGGAGACGGAGCATGTCGTGCAGCTCGTCCTTGGAGAGAGTGAAGCTGTCATTGGGCTCCTCGTGCTCAGACTCATCTGATGTCTCCTCACTCAGCAGAATGCTCTGTACAAAACACACATCCACATGAACAGGGCCCCAGGCTCCCACAGCAACAACTGGGCTTTTAAAGCAGCTTTCACCACCTCACTCCAAGCCCGGGAGTGAGAACCCTCTGACACTGAACTGTTGGACAAACGTCTAACCCGCATTGGACCTTGTTGTCCTTGAAGAGCGACAAGCAGTCAGAATGCCCCTATCTTGTCCTATCTCAGCGCAGTTCCCAAGTCAATGCCCAAGCAAACAGTGCCACTACAACCCCAGATGGTGGCATCCAAGGTGGTGAGTGCATTGCAGCATAAGTGAATCTGCCAGCAACGCAATATCATCCCAAACAGAATGCTCTCAGGCACAATGAAATCGCTAGATGAAAAATAACCAAGGTCCACCGAGTCCGGCTTCTACCATCCTGGTAGTCGCATGCTACAATAATGGAGGTGTTGATCGCGATTAATTCTGTATTGATTTATTTACAATAGTGGAAAGCTTTGGGAACCTTTGATCCAAAGTTGTCCAGCTCTTCCAGCGTATTACACTTGTCATGTCCCAAATTACTCACCTATACTGTATCCCAAAATATTATTTTCTAAAATAATTGAGAGAGGCCTGGAACAGATACACCCAATCTCTTCCTTCAATGCCATCCAGCACAACACTGATGAACAAATCGAATAAAATGAGTGACAAGACAGCCGCATGTGTGTGTGACTGTGAGGTGGGGACACTGAGTGACTGTGAGGTGGGGGTACTGTGTCAATGTCGGGGGGGGGGCACTGTGTGACTGTGAGGTGGGGGCACTGTGTGACTATGAGGTGGGGGCACTGTGTGACTCACTCACCCCCCTTTCACGAGAGAAGGGCTCAGTGAATCCATCACAGACACCGATTTTGATGCTGCGATACACATTCCGGATAGAATATAAGAGAATCCCTCGAGGGGCTGAGAGAAGCTATAGAATATCAAACTCGGCTCCCCTGGACCTGATATATGTCAATGTAAGAAACATTCAACCCTCCCCACCACCCCACACAACTCCCCACTACTCAATAACTCTCCCTCAGTCACAAAGTGCCCACACCCCTAGTCACATAGTGACCTCTCCTCTCGCTGTCACAGACACACACACACCAACTTGCATTTATGTAGTGCCCCTCACGCAGGGTAGCATCCCAGAGCGATTGACAGTGGAGAGCTTGATCTGAACCGGGAGGGGGAAGTGACCGTAGGCACAAACACACATGCACACACAGCACCACACAGTGCCTATTCTGGTTGTGTTTATCATGAACGCATCTCTTACCTTCAGCCACTTCCTGCTCTTCTTGACTTTGCTGAAGTTGTACAGGTTTGCCCGCTCCGCTCTCACCTCTGGGGAACAGTAACATCCTGAGCATCTCCTTCAGTCGCCAGCCAGTGCCTCAATGGCAACCAGCATCCTGCCTAGCTACAACAACAACAGCGGGTATACAGCTCCCCACCCCGCCCTCCATGCAGGAAGTGACTGTCCTCCCTATCCTCTAGGGAGTGGGGTAGAGCTGGACTGGCTCCAGGGTCACGTTTGGCAACAGAATGTCAGAATCGAGCCAGTACTCTGTGGCGGTCTCGATAGTCCGGTTCCTGAGCCAGGTGGTCCACAGTATTCCAGGGATTGCTGATGACAGCATACCCAGCCTGGTTCATCAGCAGGACCTGGAAGGGCAGACCAGTCACTGGGGCAGGGAGTCCTCCCACTCAGCTCCTTTTAACCCCACAAACCAAAGCCCTAAGGTAGTTCTAACTGGAGAAGCATTGGGAAAGCTGCCAGACAGTGATATCAATGGCATAAGAACATAAGAATTGCTAGACAAAAGAAAACCAAGGTCCATCCAGTTCATCTTCTACCGTCCTGGCACATGCCATGTCCTAAACTATATACTGTATCCCAAGATATTATTTCCTAAAATAAATCTATCTAATTTGCTTTTGAAAAAAATCAACACCTTCGACTAACTATGTGGTTTTAGCTGGTTAAGACTCCAGAAGACTCCAATGCACACTCTGGGGTCCCCCCAAGCTTTAGCTCTTGCCAACCTGCACCTGATACTTTCCGGAATCAAGTAAGCAGGATGCATCCCTCCACACAGAGACTGCACATTCCATTCCAATAAATATCTCTGGGATTTCCATGTGTCAGTGGCATACAAGGAATTCTCAGCTTGGTTTGGATAGTCTTTAGCATGGTGATGGGTTTCCACATGTGTCAGACACCCAGCTGAGCAAAATTAATGGTGAGGTATGAATTCTTGGGTTGTGGGCAGCCAAATTGTGAATCAAGACTAGGAGCAGGGGATCATCAGACATGGTCAGCTCGTGGGGGGGGGGGGGCAGAAAGACGGCATGGGAGCTTACCATCCCCCTCTGCCACTTCCCCCCAACACCTCTCCTCAGAAAGCTCGCCCCGAGGAGCTAGCTCCACTCAGTGAAAGCTCTGGACAGCCCAGGCTGATCTTATGATAGCAGTGCTGGCCTTGTTGCTGACTCCACTTATTCCAGGCCCCACTGACAACCTGTGCCTCAGCAAGACAACATTCACCACACAAAGCTACTCTTTCGATACACTTTATAAGACAGTCTGGTCGGTACCATTGGGGGAGGTGCAGAAATTAACCGAGTCCCCAAGCAGTGAAGTGGCCTCACCTGGATGGAAAGCCCCATTGAGTGAGCGTGGGGCTGCCAGCGCCCGTCTCTCTCCCACGTCCTCATCCACTGGTTCCTTCTTAATGTGGCTCAGGTTTGCAGGCCCTGGCTTGGATAGTGAGGGAGCCTCCTCCAGACCATCGTCACTCTCATCACTGCTGCAAAGGTTTAACAGAAGAAGTAAAACAACTTCCCAAGATCAGTTACCATGACTCCAACAGCCTGCATTAATACATTACCCTTCAGGCAGGATCGGGACTCAAGAGTGCTTTCCTGCTTAGGGCGAGATGCTGAGGCCAATCAAAGGGCTGAATGAGATCAGAAACCCAGAAGAATCGGAGCACCGAGTGAGATTTGAAACCCACTTTCCACTACACTTTCTAGTAAATCCCATTAAGTGCTTTAGGCTGTCTTCTTGACATACCAAATTCAAGGATTATTATGATGTGGGAATGAGTGCAGTTCCCGCAGGTCAGAGGACATACTTCCACTGAGCAGGCCCCACTCTCCCTACAAAGGAATCCCTTTGGAAACTGCTGCATATATGAAACCCCACAGATGCCCAAATACAACATCTTGTACCTAGAGAGCACCCTTCATGTAGGCTACCGGTTCAGAGTGCTTCACAGAGACCAGGTCGGACACCGAGCAAGAGAGGTGCAGCAGGGTGGACATGGCTCTAGGCACGGTTGAAGAGGTAGGTTTGTAGATGGGATTTAAAGTCAGATAGAGGGGTAAAACAGAGAGGCAAAGAGTGGAGGGACGCAGGGGCAGAGGTTAAGGGTGAAGGCTCTGCATCAATGATGGCATGCAGAGAGATACCCGCATGCAGGGGTGAGCAGAGGAGTGAGGTAGGAGATCCCAGAGACAGGGAACTGCGAGGGTGTGATAAAATTTATAGATGAGGAGCTTGAGATTATTTTCCATAACTAACTTAGTAATGAAGAGAAAGAAGCAGTTTGACAGAGTGCTTGGCCACTGTGCGGGTACCTGGAGATGGGCCTGTTGAAGACGACAGCAGCCTGACGCAGGAAGGGGTCGAGTCGTAGTGCACGTTCCAGGTATTGCAGATGGAGAGGCTTTGCCAGCTCTGCGCTGCTCCCATTCTCACTCTGAAGTAAGTCTGCTGCCATAGAAAGCTCCTCTCGCCCAGGAGAAACGTGGCGTCTTGAAGGTACTGTGAGACCAGAGGAGTAAAGATAATAATAATAATCCTTGCATTTGATATAGCGCTTCTCACGTCGGAAGGACGTCCCAAAGCGCTTCACGGAACACACTGTAAAGTGAATTGACTGTATATTTGTGGGCGAATGCGGCAGCCAATTGTGCACAGCAATGTCCCACAAACAGTCATAGATTGAAAATGACCAATTTTATTATTGTTTTTGGAGGGATTATTATTAGGCTCTGTGTGGAGTAAGGAAACTTGCCCAAGGTTTCGCCCTGACCTGCCGGGAATTGAACTCAGGTCTCTCACTTGCAAAGCGAGTGCTCTAACCACTGACCTACAGGACTCCACTTGATGATTTCTCAATATAAACTTCACATTGTAAAAACACAACGATGTGAGTTTGACATCTTATGTTTAACCAAGAAAAGACTGAAGATCAAAACCGTGAGGGCCAAGTGCTCTGTGTACAACTCACCACATGCTTACAACAGCTCATAGTCAGACACCACAGCAATAGGAGGCCATTTTCCTACAAAATACAGTCAATTCACAGTAATTCCTTGTTTTAAGACATCTTCCCAATGTGGAAGGCTATGTCAAATACAGGATTAATGTTATTCAGATAACATATAATAAATAATGATAAAATATAACCCTTGTATTTGATACAGTACCTCATCACATTGTTGAGACGTCTCATAGCGCTTCAAAGAACATAATAATCCTTGATTTGATATAGCGCTTTTAACATCTTCGAGACGTCTCAAAACGCTTCACAGAATATACTGTAAAGTGAATTGACTGTATATTTGTGGGCGAAACGCAGCAGCCAATTGCACGCAGCAGTGTCCCACAAACAGCCGTGGATTGAAGTGACCAATTTTTATTAATGTTTTGTTTTCTGGAGGGATTATTATTAGGTGTGTGGAGTAAGGAAACTTGCCCAAGGTTTCGTCCTGCTGGGAATCGAACCCAGGTCTCTCGCTTGTGAGGCGACTGCTCTAACCACTGAGCTACAGGACTCCACATACTGTAAAGTGGATATTATGGGTGAAATGCGGCTGCCAGTTACACACAGCAATATTCCACAAACAACCATGGAGCGAGTAAGCAATTTTATTTGTTGGCCAGAAACTTTCACTTTTCTAATAGTTCCATGGGATCTTTAACATCGATGTGAACAGGCCTCTGTTTAATGTCTCATGCGAAGGTTTAACGTCTGTTGTGTCACTGATGCTCTGTATTCTAATCCCATGATAATATTTAAGAAATAATAATCCTGGAGTTTAATATACTCCCTTGGTGACATCATCCGCAAACATGACTTCCACATGTATGCGGATGACACCCAACTCTACCTTTCCTCCTCTACTCTCAACTCCACGACCACCGATGTCCTGACAGCCTGCCTGTCCGACATCGAGTCCTGGACGAGAGACAACTTTCTTCAGCTCAACGTGCGAAAAACCGAGGCCCTCCTGATTGGCTCACGTCAGCGCCTCCGCACCTCAGGCGCTGACACCATCAGCATCCAAGGCTGCACTCTCCACCTCTCAAAGCCAGTCAGGAACCTCGGCGTTTTGTTCGACCCTGAGCTGTCCTTTCTCCCTCACATCCGCACCACAACTGGCACCGCCTTCCATCACCTCCGGAATATCGCCAGATTACGGCACTACCTCACCCCTCACGCTGCTGAAACCCTGGTTCACGCCTTTGTCACCTCAAGGCTGGACTATGGGAACTCTCTCCTCGCCGGCCTTCCCGGCACCTCCCTCCACAAGCTGCAGGTCATTCAGAACTCTGCAGCTCGTGTACTGTCCCGCACCAGGCTTCGGGACCACATCACTCCTACCCTCGCTCGCCTCCACTGGCTCCCCATCCCCCAGAGGATTGATTTCAAGATCCTCATCCTCACCTACAAGGCCATTCACGGCCTTGCTCCCTCCTACCTCTCCAACCTACTATCCCCCTACCTACCTGCCCGTAACCTCCGTTCCTCTGGCTCCGGTCTGCTCCACGTCCCCCGCCCCAACCGCCCTACTATCGGTGGTCGGGCCTTCAGCCTCTCAGCCCCGAGGCTCTGGAACTCCATCCCCCAGTGCCTTCGCCTTGCTTCCTCCCTTTCCTCCTTCAAGGCCGGTCTCAAAACCTTTCTCTTTGACCGTGCCTTCAGCTCCCCTCTCGACTCTCTTCCTCCTCCTCGCTCCCTCCCTTCCCTCCCCTCACCCTGACCATTTCCCCCTTCCTCTCTCCCTCCCTTCCCTCCCCTCACCCTGACCATTTCCCCCCTGCTCGGGTCATGACCCAACTGTGCAGCGCCTTGGGACGTCCTCCTGACGTGAAAGGCGCTCTATAAATGGAATCTTGTTGTTGTTGTTGTTGTTGTTATAGCTCCTTATCATGTCGTTGAGACATCTCATAGCACTTCATAAAATATACTGTAAAAATGAATTGATTGTATATTTTGTGGGCGAAATGAGGCAGCTAATTGCACACAGCAGTATCTCAGAAACAATCGTGGATTGAGTGACCAAATGTATTATTTGTTTGTTTATTTATTTATTATTAAGGGAATATTACCCCCAAAAAATGATCTGCCAATCAACTAACAACCAGGTTCCTACTTACTGCTAGGTAAACAGAGTAAGGAAATTTGCCTACGGTTTCACCCCGCTGGGAATCAAAGCTGGGTCCTCTCAATTGCGAGTCGAGTGCTCCAGTACTCCACCAATATACAAATAATCTTTGAATTTGATACAGCACTTTATCACTTGATCAAAACATCTCAAAGGCTTCACAGAATTTTTACTATGAAGTATCATTAATGTGTATTTTGTAGGCAAACATGGCAGCCAATCTGGGTATGGCAATGGCCCTTAAACTCTATGAAGTGAATTACCAATTTTACCGATGGGACTGATGGCCAGGACACTAGGAGAAACTCCTTTCGCCTTTCAAATAGGGTCCTGGGAATCTTTGACATCCACCTCAACGGACAAAAACAGAGTTTAACGTCTCATCTGAAGCTCGGCACCTCCAACAAAGCAGCACCCACCCCAGCTCTGCACCAGTATCAACCTACACTGTGAGTTCAAAATCCCAATGTGGGAAATTAACCTACAACCACCTGACTCACAGGTGAGATTGTACTGCCAACTGAGACAGGCTGACATCTAATGACCCATTTCCTGCTCTCTCCTCATCGTATCTGTGCTGGTACTCGCTCCCCCACACGACTGCAACATATCTTATTGTTGTATAAGCTAGGAATGGGGAATGAATAACAACAACAAATTGAATTTATATAGCGGCTTTCACATCGGAAGGAGATCCCAAGACGCTGGACAGTGAAGGGTTTTCAGCCGAGGGTTGGAGTCAAGGGAGTGGAAGAGAAGGGACTTGGAGGTGAGAGGATGCCTGAAGACACAGTTAAAGAAAAAGGTTCTTGAGACGGGCTTTGAAGAAGGCAAGGGAGGGGACAAGGGGACAAGGCAAGGGGGCTCTGGGATGGAGTTCCAGAGAGTGGGGGCAGAAAGGCTGAAAGGCCCACATTCAATGGTACAGCGAGCAAGGCAGGGGACATAGAGCAGGCCAGAGCCTGCAGATCAGAGGGAGCGGTCAGATTGATAATATTTTAGTAGGTCACATGGGGAGGAGCAAGGCCATAAAGGTGAGGATGAGGATCTTGAACTCGATCCTCTAGGAAATGAAGAGTCAGCGAAGCCGGTCGTTGATGGGGAGCCAGTGGAGCCGGGCGAAGATGGGGGTGACTGGCTCACAGAATGTAATGCAGGAGTGAATACAAGCTGCAGAGTTCTGAATAATCTGCAGGTTGTGGGAGGGTCAAAATATCAGAGAGTTAGCTAATTCAAGCCAAATAAACTGGTCTTTCACCTCAAGGTTGTTTGTGGGTTATGCTGTGTGTAACGTTGCAGCAGCGTGGCCTGTAAACACACAATCACTAACTTCACAAAAGCAAGTGATATTTCAATGCGTTAAAAGTGCTCAGAAAACATTTTTTTTCCCCAAACTTTCCACTGCACACCTCCATTGTTAAATTCAAGGATTATTATTAGTCAACATTTCATTACAGAGAGTAAGTGAATCAATATTGCACACTCAAGAGTGAGAGTCAATATTACAGACAGACTCAGTGAGTGAGAGTCAATATTAATAGGGAGACCGGTGAGGAGGGCATTAGAAAAATTGAGGCAGGAGATGATGAAAACAATGATGGGAGTTTCAGCAGTGAAGGATGTAAAATAGGGTCTGAGGCGTGCGATGTGAAAGAGGTGGAGGAAAGGTTAGGGACCAGTTGTGGGGTAGTTCAGCCAGTCCCAGGGATTGGCCAGGGAGGTTAAGGAGGTCAAATGCCATAGGTGAGAAAACATTGACGAGAGCCAAAGGAGGATGGCTTCCAACTTGTCCATGTTCAGCTGCAGGAAGTTGCTGCTTATCTAGGCCTTGATGTCTAACAAGGAAGCAGTCAGAACGTCGGTATACCTGGAGTCACGACTAGCGGGAAAAAAGATATTATCCGCATACAAGTGGAAGTTGACCCCATGTCTATGGATGACATCACTGCAACGGAGCGTGTAAATAAGAGTAGACCAAGGATAGAGCCTTGAGGTAAACCACAGGTGACCAAGAGGGCACGAGAGAGGAATAGTCGTAAAAGGGCATAGAAAAAAAATAGAAACAGAAAGAGAATAGCACAGTGTGAAACTACAATAATATAAATCCTGATGGTACGATTTTGCGTTATGGCCAACATGTATGCAGTCATGTATACATGTATATTTCGCCCACAAATATACAGTCAATTAACTTTACAGTATATTCTGTGAAGCCCTTAGAGACGTCTAGATGACGTGTAAAGCGCTATATCAAATGCAAGGAAAATAATAATAACAGGTAGTTTACAAAATGTCCAATTATCTGCACTTTTTTTTAATCTGTAAAGGAGCCATCCCAATATTACTGCAGATAATCTGCTCTCCACTGGG